ACTGCAGTACTGGTTTTGAACCAGTGTTAGGTTACCGTATTATCTCTAATATAAGCATGGTCCTTTATTTTTTCAATGTGCCTCCGCCCCGTGCTATTAATGGAGAGGAGACGTTCCTTTATTGGAGACTGTTCCATTATTATTTCAACCTCATTTCAGAGGCATGTTTCCATGCCAAATTCATGTCAGACACACACATTTCAGGGTTTTTCGCCGGTACAGATAATGAATTTACACAGTGTGCTTATAATGGAGACTGAGCACTTTATTTTTTTGAATGCCGCCCCAAGGTGTTCTTTTATTGGAGACGTGCTACATGTATTATTGGAGACTGTGCTTATATTAGAGCTAATACGGTACATGTATAATACTAGTACAATCATGTATATTATGAAAGCGATGATAGTACCGTAGTAGTAAGAAGAGTAAGAAATGAAGAGAACATGCCCTACATGGGCATTGAGCACTCTTCGGACAGTGAAGCACACCACTTGACTACGAGAACAATAAATAAAAATGTCGTTCACGGCATCTGCATGACTGTAGTGTAGACATCACATCGGTGTTTGTCAGGTACAGGTAACTGGTTGAACGTGAAGGCGGACAAACGTGGTTGTCCGTCCATATTTTGGTCGCTATCTACAGTACAGTCATGACAAGCAAATGCACACAACAATGGTGTACTAGGATGTACATGTAGGAGACACCGGAATCATGCAGCTCACCACTACTGATCTACTAGTACGTCGTCTTTACTGTTCAATCCACAAAATGTGATACAGAAAGTGAAGAACCATTGAGGTAAAATAATAGCCATTGAAAAAAGGTTCCCAGTCGCGAGAGTCAAGTATTTGGGTAGTGCACCTCTAGACTCTGCACCACGATACGCACAGGGCTAGGGAAGGAGGCCTCGCACACGTAGACACGTGCGCCAGCACAGCGGATCGATCGCAGATCGATCAGCGTCGGCCGGCAGGCGTCTGTGACGGTCTGTCCTGGCCTAGCTAGGCAAGCAACCACTGAGCTAGCGTGGAGTATGCATAATTATGAATGCAGTGTGCAAGCTCGCGTGCTATGCGTGCCATCGACGATCTCACGACGTGACGACCAGCCAGTAACAGGTGCTAGGTAGGTCTACTAGTACTAGGCATCTAGATCTACTTGGTCAAGTAACTAGTAGTTAGTTGGTGCCCTGTACCGGTACCAAGAGTCGTGCGCTCTTTCCGGTACCGGGTACCCGTACACCCAGTACCAGCACGTACCGCCACTATATTATTACATAAGCGTGCATGAAACGCAGCGTTACAACGTATGTTTCTATAATTGGTGAAACCATTCTTTTTGACCTTTGTGGCCACTATATTATTATGTAGTGTCGCACTTGACCATGATGACAGGCACTGCGTGTCGACATCATCTACCCGGCGGTAGTCCGGTACAGTCTGTACCCGGCACTGCGACAGGCTAGGCTGGGTACGGGTAGGGAGTGCTGTATATTCATGGGCTGTCAGTTTCACATCACACTGCCACATACCGTACTTAGTAACTAATCACTTACTTCACAAGAGTAGTGGTTCATTTTGAGATCATCAGCACAAACTGACTTGAAACTTGCTGCGCAGGGCTCACTCTGCCTCTGACTGAGCTCATGAGGGGCTCTACCCAGTTGACATTACTCATTACTACAGTCATTATGACATTAGCCTGCGGCGGAAGTTCGCATGACTGAGCGCTAGCTAGCTGGCCACTGGCACTGCATGCACTGCAGCAGCCTGTCGGACATGTCAACAGTGACAATCATGTCCAAAATTGGCAAGAAAGACTATGACAGTGGGAGCTGAGCTAAGCTCCTTGTGGAGAGAACTCTCCCCAGACTAGTATGACAGTATGACACCAATGTAAAATCTACACTGCACTGTACCAGGATACGGATACTGGGTGCAAGGACGATGCACCAGTCACTTTCTTGTTGCATGCACATAAATTCACATAATGGTACGATATGGTGACATAATATCGACATGTCCATAAGCCCGATAAGGCCATGGCCCATGGCGCATGGTAGGTGCATGTACATGTACATGTACATGCACGTGTGTGCGCGGTGAATGCTTCCCGCCATCCTTTTCCCCCTCTTTTTTTCCTTTTCCGGCTCTTCCTTTCCCCCTTTTTCTCCCCTTTTCCCCCTTTTCTGCGAGAAGATTAGCCCCCTCCTTGCGCAAATTGTAGTACTTCATACTACTAGTACAGTACTAGTTGAGCTTGAATAAAGATGTCAAGTAAAAATTATTTTATAACCACGCAGCACTACTGCGTGTCTAGTTACCAGTAGTTACCAGTGGTTACCAGTGGTTACCGGGGCAGAATTCTAGAAGGCTAGGGGAGTGGAGGGGGGGGGGGGGGGGAGGAGGAATACACTCGTAAACTACAAAGCAGGGGGTCGTGAAAACCCTTTTTATTACGAGTCCCGATCCCTGCTAGCAACACACAAACTACAAGTACAAGATCAGTCTCTAGCCCTTGGCGGATTATGCTGGGTAAATTGCTGAATTATGCCTTCCAATATGCACAAATTATGCCAGTGACTACATTGTATGCTGCATTATGCTGGAACTACATGCACATGTAGACTCTACCCTTGCACTCTTGTTGCCCTTTGCAACGTTACACCAACTCTGGCACCATGACAGCACGGCTTATAACATTCACTCCTGTAACATGCCTAAATATGCCTCGGGAGCATTAATCTTCCGCCAGCATCGGGTTATGCCGACCGTCTGGTCTCAGAACTCCTTTTATGCCAGGGCATACCTTTTAGACAACATCCGAAGATTATGCCAGAAATGATGCCAGCATAACCCGCCAAGCTGCAAGGGCTAATAGTCTTCAATGTAACCACAGTAACTGTTGAGTCACGGTTAGCGGTCGCTCTTCTCAACTACATGTAAGTACACCTCGGATGGCTGGAAAGCTACCTGCACAACCGGCGCCTACAAGGCTACAGGCTGTTGTGGGCAGCCAAGAGTCCTCCCTGCACCACATCCAAGCAGGTGTATACGTGTACCACAAGGTAGCCTCCTTGGACCTACATGCGCATGTACATGTACATATACGTTATTCCTCCGGTACATGTACATTTGTAAATGACTGCGAAGATACCTTGCCCGCTGGCGCTGAGCTTGCCACTTATGCAGATGACACGAGTCCGTGACGACACTGTACCAGTGCATCTCTGCCACCGCCAGTATATCCAACTCTGCAACACAACTCCAGGAAGCAGTGGACGCCGTCTCACACTAGGGTTCCCGGAAGTGGAAGGTCACCTTCGAGCCATCCAAATCTCAAGCCCTCATCATTGATCACCGCAAGCCTCCCCCCAGTGCTCCCCCCAGTGCTCTTCAATGGCGTAACTGTTCCTGAAGAGAAGGCAATCAAACTTCTGGGCTTAGCATTCGACGTCCTGCTCAGCACACCTTCGGGTCGTGGCCTCAAAGGCAGCCCAACGCCTTTACTTCCTGAAAAAGGTTGCGCCCCTGTTGGACTTAAGCGGCCGCACGGCAGTCTACAAAGGCCTCGTGCGGCCAACGATGGAATACTGCTGGCTGGTGTGGATAGGTTCATGCACATCCAGGCTGGACAGAATACAGTACAGGGTACTGAAGGTTATTGGCCCAGGTGCCTGGCTCCCCAGCCTGAAACACCACCAACTGCATGGTTGCTGCGCTTTCGTTCACCTTCAAGCTGTCCTACCTCCCAGCAACAAGCCCCCTTGAAGCCCATCCTCCCACCCCCCGCCAACCCCCGCCCAGTGGGTGGTCGATCCACCAGGCTAGCAACGGAGACTGCCCACTGCCACCCGATCCAGCTCAAGTCAACGTTGCCCGCGCGCACCCGTGGCAGCCTCCGGGGTTCTTACCCAGACTGCATTATTTCCTTGTGGAACAGCCTACCAGTGACCATCCTACCAGCAGAGCCGCAACCCAGACAGCTCCAGTCCTTCAAGGAAAAGTGCAACAAGTATCTGCTGTGCCTGAACTGGCAAATAGCCACCGACGCCCTGTGAAACAGTTTAGAACAGCGCCTCACTAGCATCCTCCCTCTCTCCTCACCACAATGTGATGTTATCTCTCATTCTGCTTCTCTCCCCTTCCTCCTCCCCTCATGGTTTGATTGCATTATGGCGCGCTTTGCCTGCATAGACGCCGAGACCTTTAAACTGTCTAATCCACACAACTGGCGACCCCCGCCCCCAAATGTACACCTGATCCACATCACACGGAGTACATGTAATAATAATTATAATCTTGATTTCAGGATTACCCAAAGGCTGATGTATATCGGAATAGAATGGCCAAGACAGTTACCTACGCACACCCTACACTTGCTGGGATAACCAGTATACAGCATGCTGCTTGGATAGAAGCAGACACTAGATGCACTGGTACCTTGAACTTGAAGGCACACACACACACCATTTTGACCATTTGACGCCCATCGCCGGAGGAAATGATAGCGATGCTACAGCAGAAACCATAGCAGCTTGTGCTGGGATTGCACCATTCAACAGCTTGCAAGGCTGAAGAATTGACCACCACTATTCAGCCTGGTCTACACCACACAGCTATGAAGTGGCTTTTTCTGGCCAGTGAATCCCTACTTTTTGGTCTTTTTCATTTTTTTCACGCACACACATCACACCACATACTCCGGCATGCGCTGGCTGTTAGTAACCAGGAGAATGAATGAAAAGTCAGGAGGAGTCTGAGAAAGAGAAGAAAGACGTGTGTGACCATAATCGTCGGGAATCGAACCCACAACCTATCGATTGGAAATCGCTGCACATACCACTGCACCATATGGCACACACACACACACACACACACACACACGCACGCACACACACGCACGCACACACACACACACACACACACACACACACACATTATATATATACACACACACCCACACGCACATGTACATACACCAGGACACGACTGCACTGTTAGACAATGGGTCCCATTGAACAATATTGCTGCAGGTCAGGTCATATGAACAGAACAGAACACAGTTTTGGTTTTGCTGCTGCTGCTGCATAGGTAAAATCAAGAGCACAGTCCTCTTGGTATAAAAAGTAATGCAAACAAAACAAGACGTGTATGAGCAACACAACAGACCGTCACAAAAAAATGAGGCTACAAATATTGGAATCGGTATAGAATATGGCGTCTGCATGTAGCATGCTTTGACATGTACAAGTGGAAATGTGACAGCTGAGGAATCTTGTGCCCAGTCGAACCGAAATACTATACAGCAGTAGCAGTACATCAGACACTCACTGACTGAGGGCAATAGCTGCACTATTAACTGGTGTATTTGCCCGAGTAGAATGAGCTAGAGAACGGCTAAGTGAGTCCGCCAGTAAGCTGGTGTGATGCACAAAGCAGTATCCGACAGAAGAGAGAGAGAGAGAGAGAGAGAGAGAGAGAGAGAGAGAGAGAGAGAGAGAGAGAGAGCCTAGAAAAACATTGATCGACCAGCTTACGCAGAGCGTGGCCGCTGTGGACTGCGGGGGCGCCAATTCAGCGGCCGTGTGCAGGTGAGCCAGCACTAGGCTGTCAAGTGCAGCAGTACAGTGGGCAACATTTACAACACAGCTCACAACAGCTATAGTGATGACAGGTGGACACATACCAGATCGCCAAATAATTGGTAAAGAGAATAAGGCAGAAAAAAGCGGAACACACAGGACCATGCATTGGGCGGCGATGGCAGCCAGAAGCAAAAGTCAACACAGAGAAGCAATACATGTAACTGAAATACCATGTCTGCAAATTCAACCATAATCTGACTTACATACTTGTAAAAAAGAGAACACATTTTAGTAATCACGCAAAGGAGGTATTATTTGTGAGAGAAATACAATATGGGGTCTCTGGTTTTTGTACAGGTCATATTTGCGATCATGTGCTAGCTCTGGATGCGGGCTGGGCATGTGTGTGTGCGCGTGTGTCTGTGCAGGAAAACCTTTTAATAAAGCGGATTATCTGTGTGCGCGCGTGCATGTGTGTTCATAGTTGTGTGTCCATCCAGGGTGGACCGAGTAGCTATCAAGGGATGCGAGGGGTGCGTGCGCGTGTACTTGTGAGCATAGCTGGATGGCGGAGCGGCTTGTCCACGGCATGTTGAGCAGTGCAGAAGCCGGCAGCGATGACTGCGAATAGCAGCAGTGTGGAGCATGCCTACCAGCTGAACAACAAGTCTGATAGACAGGATCCGGTGCAAGGAGCAAGGACAGCAGCAGCGAATCACTGACCAGCAGTAGTAGATGTCATTGGCAGTGTATCTGGAACGCACGGCACCTAGACTGCCACATCCACTGAGTACCGGGAGTGTGCAACTGCATCACCGTCAGTGTCCATCACATCGGTGAAATGATCAAACGGCGCTAGGTATTCCAGCACCGTGTCATACACAAACGAGTACTCCGCCTAAACAGCAAATACAAACACAATGATACAGTCAAGAAAAGCCTAGTAGCACTGGATATTACACATCTCTCTCTGTCTCTGTGTTTCTGTGTCTGTGTGTCTGTGTTTCTGTGTCTCTCTCTGTGTCTGTCTGTCTCTCCCCCTCTGTCTCTGTCTCTCCCTCCTTCCCCCCCCCCCTCTCTCTCTCTGTCTGTCTCTGTCTGTCTGTCTGTCTCTCTCTCTCTCTCCCTCTGTCTCTGTCTCTCCCTCCCTCCCCTCCCCCTCCCTCCCTCCCTCCCCTCCCCGTCTGTCTGTCTGTCTGTCTGTCTGTCTCCCTCTGTCTCTGTCTCTCCCTCCCTCCCTCCCTCCCTCCCTCCCCCCTCTGTCTCTCCCTCCCTCCCTCCCCTCTGTCTGTCTGTCTGTCTGTCTGTCTCTCTCTCTCTTACGCTCTCTTACTGGAGTAGGTGTCAAACACATTCGTATGTAAGGTTTCCTGCAGCAAACAAGCCACCTGGGCTGTACGTACACTACTACGACCCTTGCTGGTGAAGATCAGATTGGAACACCCACAACCATACAACAATGCTCTGACTGGAGCATGTACCCAACTTACCAGTGTCCGAACTAAGAATGGACGGTGAGCGCGAAGAGACTTGATTGTCATGAAGACATCGAGCAAACCCTCACATCGCATGCGCTCAATTATCGTGCTCAGCGCAATGAAGCAGCCAGTTCGGCCAACGCCAGTGCTACACAGATAACAATACATCGCACGCAGAAGAGAAGATCAGGGACTAGTTGCAGCATGCAGCGCAAAGGTGAACATCCAAGTTAGTCGTATGGACAGCCACTATATTGCATGCATGGACAGAAAATGCTGGCATGCACATACCGGTACACACATAACCTAAGAAAGAATGACTCCCAGAACCACCACCAAAACTACTGCAGTTTCCACCACCGCCGCTACTAGCAGCAGCAGCCGCAGCAGCAGCAGCAGCAGCAGCAGCATAGCAGTAGTAGCATAGCAGCAGCAGCATAGCAGTAGTAGCAGTAGCAACAACAGCATCACTAGGATCATCCATAGTACCTAGAAAGGATATCTTGTGCAGTGTAGATACACTGTACTTACTCGCAATGGATCACATACATACACTGTACTTACTCGCAATGGATCACCACTGGGCTATGGTCATCGGTACGCTCCTGCAGCTTCTGCACCTCACCAATCAGGTCTATGAGAGAGCGGCGTCCCGTAGCCAGACAGGTCTGGTCACTGTCCATGCTGTTCTCCCTAGGCCAGCAGCCAGAGCCGGAGTATTGGAATAGACACACTGTACGCGTTGCATCGCCCTACAACACATACAGACAAACACATACACAAGAACCACATGCAAAGTGAAAACCAACGTATATAGTCACACACAGACTACATTGCATTGCATTCCATAAAATAATACTTGGTAGAAACTTCACAGAACAGCTACATGGCCATCATATGCACACATACATCATATGCACACATACATCAAACACATATGCATACATGCACTAGCAGCAGCAGCAGCAGCAGCAGCAGCAGCAGCAGCAGCAGCAGCAGCAGCAGCAGCAGCAGCAGCAGCAGCAGCAGCAGCAGCAGCACTAGCAGCAGCAGCAGCAGCAGCAACACCATTATCATTGGTCTGAGTTGACTAACACTGATGAGCATCAGCAGCAGCAAGCTTACCATCGTGTTGGTCATCTTGAACTGACGCAGTGTGTAGACAACCTGCTGCGACGCGTCCGTCTTCGTCTGCTCCGAGATTGGATCGACTAGGCATGTGCCATACTGCGAAGCCATGTCCACGGGCCAGTACTGATGGCAAGTTTCCTGTGCATAAGTAGAGCAACAACAACAGGCAACAACAACAGCAGCAGCAGCACACAAGCCAATACAATCATGTTGATGCAGTCATGCTTAGCTGGCCGTGCACGGCATATCCACCCAGATATTCACGTTTGAGCAAGATTTCACAACAACAACTCAACATGACAGTTACAACCGTTCAGCACGACATCACACCCAACGCCGTCACAGTTACAACCGTTCAGCACGACATCACACCCAACGCCGTCCCGCACGCACGAGACAAAAGAGTTTGCTCACGTCTCTACGAGTACAGTGAACCTTCAGCCGTCAATACACTAGCCAGTTACAGTCAAAGTCAATAGGAATGTGATAGTTCTCACCTTCACCCACCAATTTATTGCATGCATTTCACACCCCTCTCTTATGTTGACGGTATTCACACTTCCTTCAAACTTGGCACTTCGGTTCTTCTCACATTCTCATTGGTGTTCTCTCTATCACCTTGTGCTATAAAACAAGGCTCTTCTCAGCTGAGAGGGTGTGTTATTTCCAAGCTACTAATGCAATCTATTACACTTAACTTGTTAGAGCCAAAGCAAAATACTATTCGTTCTCTCTCAGTACCTGTCCGTCTTCGATGACATCCGTCAGCATGACGATAACCTTGGAGCCAGACTGCCAAACCATCTGCCAGAAAGCATCAACTGTACGTGCCATGGGGCTTTGAGCGGCCACAAACGCACAGTGCGATTTGTACCCCTGGAAATACAGCAAACACAAACGCACAGTGTGATTTGTACCCCTGGAAATACACCAAACAGTTGACACACAAACGCACAGTGTGATTCGTACCCCTGGAAATACACCAAACAGTTGGATGATAAAATATCAAGTAAAGTGAAGACAAAAAGAGAGCCCCCCCCCCCCCCACACACACACACATACTCCTCTGCCTACAGCAATCTATTGGGAGAAACGTAGCAAGCAGACAGCAACATGCATCAAGACGCATCTACACAGTATCCTAGACAAGTACAGTCGTCCCTCTCTAATCCGGCACTTTATAATCCAGCACCCTCGATAAACCAGCACAATTTTCAGTAGCCAAAATGTCCTCTTCATGCACATTGCAGCAGTAAATCAGATTTGTTAATCCAGCACCCTCCCTAATCCAGCAGATTTTCGTGGCACAAATGGTGCCGGATTATAGAGGGACCACTGTAGCATAACTGGACGTAAACGTCCGCTCTGCCTTCTTATAAACCAGTGTTTTCTGCAGGCTAAATAAATAATCATATAAAAACCGCTCTGGGAACGGTTCTGAAAAACCTTTACTGGCGCTGCACCCCGTCGTAAAAGTAAGAAAAACGTATGGCTGCCAGTGTGCTAGCCAATGACAGTGCAGCAAGACTTACATCAACATAGCGGGCTATAGGACTTTCATCAACATAGCGGGCTATAGGACTTACATCAACATAGCTGGCATTCACGTAGTCACCACCTTCCTCTCCCTTCATGCTGCTAAGCGGCAGGCGTACGCGGTATTCATCAACTGAACAACACCAACAACACAGGACAATGCAAGAGAACGCACCAACACAAGGACTTCAGCACACACAGTACTTCAGTGCGCCGGATCGCAGTGAGGACAGGCACGCGACCCCGACAATACGGCGACCGTACTGCCGGAGCTCCATCAATTTTCTACCTCAGCTTTCCAGATAAGCCATCTTCAAACCCTGCCCCACCTGTACACCTGTGCACCTGCAGACCTGTAGACCTGTACACCTGTACGAGGTCCACACACTGCAAACAAACTACCTGCAGGTGGTCGCAGTGACAGGTTTTACTAGACTACATTGCTTTCAATCCACACAACACAACACGAATAACTGTCAGCACAACAACAGCACATTACAATGTAAAGCCTGCAGCAGCAGCAGCAGCAGTATCTCAAGCTTACATGGCAGATAGAGCTCGTCCGCAAATCGATTCTTCTTGACGTTGCAATCACGCAGGGCAGCCAAAAACGAAAGGTTGTCTACCTTCTCGGTCGAGAGGCGCTGTACCGGGCAATAGCAGTTGAGAAACACACAGCACATGTAGTAGTCAGATACATGCATGGTGCATTTCTGCACACTACATGCGTGCATTTCTGCACACTACGCATTCAAATGACACTGTCATTTACAATGCATTGAAGTATGTGGCGGCTCTCAAAGGGCTAAGCTCTTTGGCACATTCACTTGGATTTTGTGCCAACGTCCATAGACAATATCTCACTTGAATTCCACCAAGATTCGAATTGGGGTCACAGGTAAGTTCAGCTTTCATACGTGACATTATGGCTTGCGGAAAGCGTGAATATACCTGGAAGGGTGACATGCAATTTTGGCTTTCATCAAGACATTACGGTATGCGGACAGCGTGTATATACCTGGAACTCAGCCTGCATGCCAGTAATGCTGTCGTCAAGGATGGAAGGCTGCCGCAAACGCTGAAGAGCTTGAGGCAGGTCCTTAGCATAGATCTCTGTGTTGCCACAGTCCAGCGATTCCTTTATTGCCTCGTGAATGAAAAAGTATTGTTCCTGAAATGCACACACAACAAGCCAAAACACATTTTTTTCAGCGTACTCAGTTGCGAGTCCAGCTTTGCCATGCGCAAGGTGCGAGTCAAGGAGCCAAGAGTGGTCCTCATACACACTGCAGCAAAACAACACACTACTGTTTGATAGCACTCTTAAAACCTTTGAGTACATGTGCAATAAGAATGTCATTCCGACCCTCTGCTATTTACTGCTAGTCCCCCAGTAGCACCATGGCTGGGTATCGCCCTCATCTCTGGGGTTGCTCCCCACATGAGCAATGCGTGTACATGCTACGAGATTGAGTTTAATAAATAAATACATAAAATAGTCAAGTGCGATCTTTAGCATTTCCCTACCTCAACCTGCACCATGAAGTTGCGCTGTGCACGCATGATGGTGCAGTAGCCGTACACGTCGAGGGTGTCCAGCTCCTCCGCTCTCTTCAGCATGGCGTCGATTGCGATGAACGTGCCCGTGCGCCCAATGCCAGCACTACAGTGCAAAGAAACGCGCGCGCGCACACATACAGCAGACGCACACAGATTCCAGCACAGCACGGCATATCTACTACATACAACTTCCAGGACTGGCAATCATTTAATCCAGCAGGCACTGATGACACCCAAATGTAGCAGCTTACCAATAGAGAGCAGTACATGCAAATATAGAGTACACATTATCTTAGTTGTAACTGAACAATGGCCATCAGTCCCCATCATATCAACAAAATTCACGCCAATAGAGTATCAGCAATGCCACCACCATCACCGCCAATGGCAACACCACCAAGCAAGAGTGCTCGCACGGCAAGTGACGTATGAGCAGCATCGCTGTCCAACCCCATACCTGCAGTGCACGATCATGGGACCAGATCGCTCCGGGTTCAGCTGTCGCACTTTGCGGCGGAAGAGCAGCATGGGTGTGGCGTGGCGAGGTGCACTCTGATCAGGCCACGCAGTGAACTGGAATTGCTTCACTTCACGTGATGGTTCATCACGACCCACCTACATGTATGCACAAAAACGCCAGTAGAGATGAACACCACGCCATCAGCATCATGTGCCCTGTTCTGCAAGCTTCTACACACAGGATCATTTCAGCATGTGCATATCAGCAGTATCCAACCACAAGCACACTAGCTCCTTGTCCAAGAGTGACGTTAGTAGTACGTTGTTTTGCGCTATTCGCAGGCCAAAGTCCCGAGCCTGTCAACACGATACACGTCACAACGTGTGCATCTCTCCCCGGACACAGCACTCAACAAAAGAGACCGGAAGCATAAATCTGTTTATCTACAGACATCATTGTGCCGTACCTTGACGAGGTTGAAGACACGCACAACGTAGTCAGCCAGCGGTATGGTGTCTGTGAGCGTCACCTCAATGTTGCCATACGCAATGGTGCCAGAATCGGGCCAGTATTGTGCACATTTGGGCTGCACACACACAGTCAAGTAAACACAAACAACAACGACAGCAAAAATAACAACACGGCATCTCAGGCCAATGGTGACTACGGTAACTTTTCACACAACCACAATAACAAGCAGGAACAGACCAATGGAACAAAACACAATACTTAAAATCAATAAACACACAATCCGACGCTGCTGTGGCCAAGGCTAGAGGACTGAAACGAGTCAACAAGACTGAACATGTATCAAACTGAAGACCAGATCATACTGCTTTTCCATTGAAAAGATTTAAGTTACTTACTCACACAGAATATGCCATGGGGATTTGGTTACTTGCTGTTCAAGTTTTTAAAGTGATACAGTTGGTAACGTTATTGCAACAGGAGCTGTAACAGGCTGTCTCACTCACCTTTCCCTTCTCTTCCAGGTTGGTCAACATGACAATAGTGGCACTCTGCTGCTCCCAGACCATTCTCCAGAAGTCTGCCTTGGTCTCATCGACAGGACCTAACCAAGGAACATGAACAATACAGTATCCCGTTAAGAGCGTGCAGAAATAACAAACCGTGCCAACGTTATTAGACCACACAACTGCAAACATACTTCAAGTATACAAGTACAAGTATAGTGCAGTGTATACCTGAAGTACAGTCGATCTACCCTTATAACGATAACCTCTATAACGATATTACCCTTATAACGATATTTTTTTGCCAAACCAAATCAATCGATTGACTCGTGTATACATTGTCTTACCTCTATAACAATATTGCTATAACGATATTACCCCTATAACGATATAAAATGGGCTGACCAATCGACATTTTTTTCCATTTTATAACAATATCTAGCAGGGAGACCACTATCCAGGTAGGGCACGCTTTGCAAACTTCACTTGATAAGTCGCTGGGACATGACGAAATGCAATGGGGGCACCAGTGGGCACCTTGCTGTGTACATAATGTGCATGTACGTCAGTTTATATGCTATGAAGCGTGTAAAAAATGAACGAAATCCATGCATTATGACGTATGTGTATGAAATGAACCAGTTACCCCTATAACAATATTACCCTTCTAACAATATTTCTTGGTCTGACGGAAATATCGTTATAAGGGTAGGTCGACTGTACTATGCTTTGGGATAGAAAACAGTGTACAACAGATGCAACTTGCAAGGATGAGACCCGCCACAGCCACAGATTAGCATTGTTACAAAGGGCAATGACAAGGGCACCAACCTTGAGTGGCAATGTACGCGTTCTTTTCGTCATGGCCCTGAATTCAGCGCAGTCACAATGGCACATGTACACACACGCACAAGCACACGTGCACAAGCACACGTGCACACACACAAACACAAAATAGTCATTAGTTGAGGTGTAACAAAATACTCAGGTAGAACTATACCCCTGAGCATGACATACGTAAAAGCAACCCTACACAGCAGCAACGCTCCAAGTACTAGGCTATCAAAAAAGGGACAAGCGACCTTCATTAAGCCGACAAAACAACAAATAAATTGGACCAAAATAACAAATGAACAGAGAAGGATAGAAAGTGAATGACAATAATCAAAGAGACCAAACCAGACCAGTACAAAAGTACACCTCAGTTGACAGCAAATACATTTTGAGAGAATCATAAAACACATAAACTGATCAATATAGTTCCGATTCTACTCAATGGACTATATTATAGCATAACTTGTAGTTCTTTGGTCCTTTTTCGTTTCTATAAATTCTACTCAATGTTTGCACAATTCCTGCTGACTGAATCCAGCTGGTGCATGTACTTACATCAACAAAGTTGGCATTGATATAGTCGGAACCGGACACACCCTTGATGGCATTAAGCCGCACTCGACTATGGTCATCTGAACACAGCAGGAAGGGCGGAAACAGAGACAGTAACCGAGAGTTAGCGGAACAGCCATTTATGCTACAAAAGGATCGTGATGTGGGTAAGGCGAGACCAACAAAAAATACAGATTCCCGGGCGAAAAATAAAAAATTCGCCCGCCCGCATCAATTTCACATGGGTCCTGCCCGGGAATCTCGATTTTATTTTGGTCTCGCCTAATGAGCCGTTTTCGACTTGTAGCCAACCTGTATACATACGCATGGCATAATGCCATTCGCCTGCTTTCAATACTCCTCATCTCATTCGTTCTCAAATTCTATGTCCATTGATAGTAGCGCTGACAGCAGTGAACATGAATTCTGTGCAACAAGCTCCCCCCCCCCCCCCCCCCCCACAATAGCAGCATGCAAGTCACTCACAGGCTTTGATGTTGGTGTAGCGGTTCTTCTGGTGGTTGACTGTCAGATCACTGTTGTTGGTGGTGAAACCCTCAAAGTGAAGAGGCAGAGACTAAACGGCGAGAACACGACACAACAGCGACACATTGGCACATGCACGCACGCACACACACACACACACACACACACACACACACACACACACACACACACACACACGCACACGCACACGCACACGCACACAGTTGCATTCAACATACACCCTATGCATACTCTCCACAAATGAACGAGAACCGGGAACATGTTCCAATCACAATTCAATTGTAATTTGGAATGTGCCCCCGAGTATAGTCAATTAGCACAACATGTGGAAAAGCTATCCAAGACTGAGGCAATGAGGTATATTGTATTCATTATCAAAGACGACATACATCATACTCCTGAGAGAAAGGAAGGTTTCCTTCGGCTCTCATGTTGACCACGTGTTCGGAGAACTCGGCCAGATGAATGGCCGGGTGAGCTGCAAAGCCAACATAAGACACACACACACACACACACACACACACACACACACACACACACACACACACAAACCACACCAAACGGACGACGAGTGCAGCAGTCAGCTCGGCTAGATTATTCAATGCACGGAATTTTCCACGTACAACATATTCTTGATTTGCAGTACAACCACCAGCGTTCCTATGGCAACTAGGACATGGACAGAATGAGCTGTTCAAAACAGCACTGTTAATAGCTTGACAGTACATGTACTCTCCAGGACATCTGGAGCAGCAGCATCACAAACCCTCTCCCTACCTTTGTCCTCCCCAAGACGGATCTTCTCCACAGTTTCATCGCCGGTCTTTGGCAGCGTAAACGGCTTCTTGCCGGTGCTGTTGTTAGTAGAGGCAGCGCCTGTGCTCTCGGTTCTCCTCCTGTGTGTCATCAAATTGAATAAAATGTCCATCAATACACCGAGACCAGGTACGAAGCCAACACACACTACTGCCCAAACAACCTTTCACTTCCATGCTGTGCTCATACTACAGGGGTAGCTTCATAGCCAGTGGTTTTCTACACGTGACGAGTCTAAATGTACGCTGAAGCATGGCCTGGGGCTGAGGGGGGATAGAGTTGGCTGATCGTCATGGGCACAGGACCTCTTGCTGCACAGGGCGCTAAAGTGATAACAAGTACAGGTTTAGTTACACAATACGTGTACATGTGTAGAGTGTGCACAGTCATGCACTACATGTGCTCCAGTCAAGGTGAAACGTTCAAACTCGACGTTGTGCTCCGCTAGATCCAATGGCCGTCTTCACGTGCACTGACACATAGGTAATTCTTGGGTTGGGCAGCATGAAAGATCTGCACCGCTAGCACATCAATGTGTGTCTATGTGCAAAAGCAGCTGCAGCAGCAGCAGCAGCAGCAGCGCCAACAAACCCACCTGCCGCGATAGCGGAGTATCACCACAATGAGGAGAACGACGAGAAGCAAGACCACCACTGCGCCAATGGCGGCAGCAACGATCAGAACCAATCCTGATGACGTGTCGTCAGGAGCAGCTGCACATGTAGAACATGTACACAGCTCAATACAGTCACATCAACACTTCTGAACTAAAGTCCAAAGTACCGGGCTATCAGTAGATGCGGTGTGTGCGTGTGTGTGTGCGTGCGTGTGTGTGTGTGTGTGTGTGTGTGTGTGTGTGTGTGTGTGTACATTGCTCTGCACATTCGTGCATTGAGCACTCTTTCGAGCTGCCTTGACCAGCCCAGTTTGTGTCAATACAGTTATGCTCAGCTGTAACATTTATCCGCCTACACTAACTACATGAAGCTATGGTCCATGAACCATGGACAGACTTACAGAAATCCACCTTGGGAGTCCAGACCTTTTCCGACTCAGTACCCTAGAAACACACCCAGACACATGACACACAACGAATAAACACACAGTAAACGCGTAACACAGCTCACACTGCCGCTACTGTACACGTTAGAAGTTTGTACAGTAAAACTTGTCTAAGACGACCGCTCAAGGGACCTGCAAAAATGTGGTCTCTGCTGCCAGGTGGTCTCCTTATCCAGGGTCGTTTGGCTGCAAATAGCATCCCTTGGTCCTGGTTACAGTGGTCTTCTGAGGCAGGTGGTCTTCTGAGGCAGGTGGTCTTCTGAGGCAGGTGGTCTTCTGAGGCAGGTGGTCTTCTGAGGCAGGTGGTCTTCTGAGGCAGGTGGTCTTCTGAGGCAGGTGGTCTTCTGAGGCAGGTGGTCTTCTGAGGCAGGTGGTCTTCTGAGGCAGGTGGTCTTCTGAGACAGGTGGTCTTCTGAGGCAGGTGGTTGCCTTGACAGGTTTTACTCTACATGTATCGCTGCCATCATTCCCAAGAAGACATACATGCAAATGCCAGCATCCGTCTTTATCAAAGTCTTGCTCCTGTTCTATGGTCCATTGCCTATCTACCGTTGTAATCCACCTGTTGTCCAGTCCGGGAAATAACATGCTGGAAGAATGACGCTACTGCCGGTAGCTAGTTCATGCAGAGAAAATGCTTCAAATGTCATGTTGACATTAGACTAGGATTAAGGACTGCGATGGCCAGTTAACTTACGCTAGCGGTCACTGTAATAAGGGCAAATTCATACGAGAAGCCACGAACAAGAGGGGCATTCGCCACACCATGGGTTTTGCCATCGCCGATGACAAACACGGTTCCATCAGCAACGCTGTCGGGAGCCAGGCGAGCTGTGACGTACTCTGTGCTATCCGCCTGCCGCCGGAACCTGCCCAGCACACTGCGCTGCTGCCTCGACCCTGGCGTGCTCTTTCTGACGTACACAGCATATTGACTGCAGCACAGAACAGAGCAAGTGTGAGCATCAGAAGGCATGTTAACTACATTGCATACCTTGCATTGTTATGTCTCGCTATAGATAACAGTGTGACCTCGCTTATCTCACTCAATGCATATCTGCAATAGGCTGTAGCCCAAATAATGAAGTATACAAAGCGAAACATAACAGTATTGGTCCCATAAATTATGCATCTACACAAGCTATCCCATTTGACCCTCACCAGCTCATCCAATATGGGGGGGGGAGCGGGATCGGAAACAATGCTGATCCTAGCTGATCATTCTTGTATCCGGACATTATTGCCAAGTGTTCCTCTTGCCAAAAAGAGTTTGGAAAACTAAGCTCACATTGTGCGAGAGTTCCCCAGGCACACTTAAGGAACTACTTCACGCGCACATGACTTACGCTGCAAAGGCATGATCAGGAGACCTGGTCAGTTCAAGCGGGATTGAACCATTGCTGGCAATGTTGCCTGAACCGCGGAATGCTGGAGGTTTCGTAGGTGGTCGAGGCACTGCAGTGGACAAAGGCACATAAAGATAAAGAATGCAACATGGCACTCGCTATTGACACCAGCAGGAATGATAACTAGTCATAACTTATAAACTATCTACTTGGTACACACACACCCGCGCGCACATCCACCCACGCACATGCATGCATGCACGCACGCACGCACACACACACACACACACACACACGCACACACACACACGCGCATACGCACACACTCACACGCATTTGCACAGACGCACACACAAAAATACCAGCAAGACACCCAAGATGGACCACGAACAAATATCCAGTGTTGCATACCTATGGTACTTGACTTGCACTCGACGTTCTCAATAAGCATTCTGCTGGCCAGGAGCGGGTCGTCTCTCTGCTTTGCCGTGACAGTCAGGGCATACTTGGTAAACGGTTGCAAGGGACGCGATGGCTGCCATGATGTTGTTAGCAGGTTGTCAGCACCTTCACTGTCCACATATTCCTCATCATCACTGTCTGTAGTAGTTATATACACCTAAAAACAAAAACAAAAAAAACAAAAAATACAACTTCACTTGGATACTGAGCCAATAAGAAATGAAAAATAGAAGAAAAACTCGTTCATGTTGCTAGTTGCTTCATAACTCGTTCGTATGTGTTTTTTTCTAATAAAATGTCACCTTCACCTTAACCATTCACATAACACAATGTGAAAGATATACTTCTGAAGTACATGAACTGAATGTGGACATCACCATTGCGCATGCCACATCAGAATCCCAGCTAGCAGTGGACACACACACGCACGCACGCACGCACACACACACTATGCACAGTTCAGTTATAGCTCCAAGATTGCATTACCAATTCAGAGCATACTGCCAGTTTTACACGCTATCCTTGGTATACCACTAGGAGCTCTACAGATATTTTATCTACATATACATGTACGGGCAAACACATGAACGTGTGCACGCACACGCACACACACACGCACACACACACGCACAAGCACACACACACACACCCCTCCTCTCCCCTTCCACACAAGCATGAAGGCGAGTGATCAGCTTATTAGAAGTAATAACAAGGTAGTTTTAAAGATACATGTCAATAGCATAGACTAGCCCATTCTAAAAGCCAACTTACGCTGTACACTACGGCTGGGCCATTCAGCTTTGTTGGCTCGGTCCACGAGAAGCTAGCAGGCGATGTGCGCAGAGCTGGACATGTACTCTGTACATTTGACGGAGTCTCCGGGGCTGCACGAAACCCAGCAAAGTACATGTAGGTGGATTATTCAAGATTCATAAGACTACTAGTATAACAGAGAGGTTCCAGACTGTCCAATCCAATAAAGTGCTCAATGCCGAAAGGCAGAGCTAGTTCAAACAACAATAAGAGGATGAAAAAGTATTCTTGTTGTAAGTACTAGTATGTGCTATGGGCTTACAAGTAGGGGTGTGCACGGGTAGTCGGGTGCCCGTGCTACCCGTGAGGACCTCGGGTAGTCGGGTACAGAATAGTACCCGATAATCCGAAGTCGCTAGATGACATCATAATTATGACATGTACAGTGCACGTGTACAAATTCTTGTCATCTCTGCATGTCTACCCAGTGTGTAAGGGAAGGGGTGCATTGTGGTTACCACGGAAACATTACCCGATCGGGTACTGTAACTAGTGAAGTCGACAAGCTGAGAAGGGATTTCCCTTACTCCCAGCCTGAGCACCTTTTTTACTGCCGGAATGCAGTTACCGCCGCAGCAGCCGCGGCAGCAAAACTTTTCCGCCGGCAACGTGCCAGTAACGTCACGTGATCAAATCACCTTGGAAACTTTCCCAATCGGTCACTTTTATCGGTAGTCTGAACGGGCCCTAACCAGTAGAAGCAAACCCATCTATCACTCACCAGCTTGTGATGTCATGAACGAGGTGCTGACAGAGTCGTTGCTCCGGAACAGCCCGTTGTATGTGACTACGTGCACACTGTACTGCGTGTACGGTATCAAGGCAGACAGACTGTGCTGCTGCAGCTGCTGCTCATCATGCACGTGATCCACGGTGAGGGACTTCTTCGTGCCCTGTGCCTCCACGTACTCAACAGTGTATTGCCAGGTCTGCGCGAAGGCATTTGTTGGCGGCTGCCACTGCAGGAAGACGCTGGTGGCATTGACTTGCGAGAAGGTGAGATTCCGCGGCGCCGTCGGCTCTGTGCAAGGGAAGAGCGACGCACACAGTGAGTCTGAATGAATGTTTCATTCTCCATACACACTGCGCCACAGCCGTCGCTCAGGAGGTAATGTAAATGCTATCATTTGTATTACAAGCACATGGAGTGCACATACATGGAGCGTACACATACTTACCACCTTGAATTGTGCTGGTTGGGTTGGATGGTAGACTGGTTGGCGATGCTCCTACAGACGTCAATACTGCCATGCGGATTGTGTACTCTGTGTCGTACTCGAGGCCAGTGAGAGCAACTCTCAACGCTCCGAATGGGCATGTCTGGCACTGTTCCACACCCCGTTGCGGGATAGTCCTGGTCTCTTCTGCACCACCGGTTGGTGTCAGGAAAAACATGTAGCTCACGATATCTCCATGAGTTTCAGCAGGATTTCGCCATGTCACTTTCAAGGCATTTCGAAGGCCGACATCGACTTTCACCGTCTGGATTCGAGGCGGATCAGAGGGAGCTGTGACCAGACAAACAAGTGCACAGGCAAGGAAAGGTGGCAGAGTGAGTAAACTGAATCTCTCTATACTCTTGCTTCTTCATCCCCCCCTTGTTGACCGGCACCGGCAACATCGTTGCAGCCTTGTCCATAGAATACGTCTCGCGCAGGTTCAACGGCATATTAAAATGCATATAACTGGTTTTCTAGCAATGGCTATACTCATAATGCGCTAACCCTACCACGTGTCCGATCCTCCCTGTACTTGAAGTCTCCTTTCTTCTCCGCATACTCCCTATGGTCTGCTCTGCCTCTAAGCCTTAAATCATGCACTGATATCAAGGAATTTATACGCGTTATCTCTGGCTAACTGCCCCTGCCTCTACTATCGTCATCTGTACTCTCCTAAGTAAACCCCGCGTTAATTTCGACTCTTGATTCCTCCTTGTCTTCTACTTTTTCTTTTTTCCCTGTTTTGGATATTTGCCGTGGTTGGCTATCACCCTTCATTTCACATTCATTTGTCATTGGCAGTCGTTTGACGAGCCAGGAAATGTTCAATAAATACAAATACAAACACTACACAAAGAGCAGGAATCGACTATAAGCACAGCTCGGCGGTGGCAGGACAGCTCATTTGCTGCATTCGGACCGGTGCCAACTTCTACGGCTATTTTCAAAGCTCCTGAAAAGGCATGCCTACATGTGTCATGTCTAATTTCAGGTGTCACTTGTGTTTCCGCTACAAAGCACACCATATGTAGAGAACATCACCAGGCAGACCACGAATGCACGAGGACACTGAACAGGCTAATAAACATTCGAAACATATGTAACGTTCTGACAAGAGCGAGTGCTAGTATATTTTCAGTTACGTTACCCCCAAATCACCATTTAGCTACAATGTGTGTATGCACTTGCATCGACCACCCACTGTCCTCCTGACAGCCTTCACAATCAACATGCCTAGGAGGAAGCGAAAGAGCTCTGTTTCCCAGTGCAACAATCACCAAAGAGCTGTGACGTTGCATGCAAGAGATGGTTTCACTCAACATGTCAGCCACTACAAAAATCAAACTGCCTCCGTGGCATTGAATTTGAGCTCGTTTCGAAGAGCTTTCTTGAAGAGCTTTCCAGGAAGCCCAAGATTGGCGAAATCAGTTGATTAGGACAATGAGGCACGGAATATTGCATTTTTACATCACTTGGCAATTTTAAAATGAACAAATGACAACAACACGCTCAATCACACACCATACACTAGAACTTACTGCCATCGATGGATTGGAAAGTGATTGTACTGGGATTGCTATATTCCACGGTAAAGGCCCGGACCGACACGTGGTATTGCATTCCACCAACTGCGCGAGGAGCAACAAGCACAAGTACGCAGACACAGTACACCAACAAAACAGACAACATCTCATCGGGCAAATTCATCGATTCCACTGTTACCATAGCCATCAAGTGAATTATTGACACGTTTTTTTTTAATCAATCCTCAAACGCAAAAAAAAGAAAAAGAAAAAAGAGCCACAACATCCGCACTAGCGTCAGCATTTCGTATTGGAGAGGGTTTTCTAAGAAAATAAAAAGGACAGTAGCCAGTATCTTGATCAGATGCAAGAGTTCAAAACCAACAATTGGCAATCCAACCCAACCGATATCACATCGGTTGGAGCCTGTGCTGGCTATATCCCGGTGACACGTCTCCGAACTCTGCACACAAGGAATTCTGCCAAAAAGACAATTGGGTCACAGCACTCAACGTCGCAGTGTTTAGCTAGATGGCACAGCAATCGCCAGTGCTAACTTACTAAGGCCATTGAATGTAGCCATCAAGTCTTGTGTAACCAGTGAGCGAACCGACCCAGTTACATCATCCTCCAGGGTGACATTGTAGTGTTGAACGATACCGTTCGGGTATTCTGGCTCTCTCCAAGTTACAGTGACAGCAGTATGATCGGACTGGCTCTTGTTCAAGTCACGTACCTTACTTGGTGCTGGAACACACAACACATCATTACAGTGGATTCAGCAACACAAAGGCACCAAGAAACCATCCACACACACACACACATGCACACATGCACACATGCACACACACACACACACACACACACACACACACACACACACACACACACACACACACACACACACACACACACACACACACATACACACACCACACACACACACGTGCACGCACGCACGCACGCACACACACACACACACACATCAGCAGCGGCAGCAGCATCATCATGAGCAGGATTGTATTGTAGTAGTAGTCAGTAAAACAAACCGACTGAACATAGCACTGGAGAAAAGGAATACTGTAGCAGTAAAGAGCTGCACAAGCAGCGTACGCAAGAAATCAGTGATTGCCACAGACTCCAAACAAAGACACAAGCGGAAAGCACACTATGTACAGAAACTGGCCTAGCCTTGACTTATACTGGTCGTATCAAAATTAGACACTATCGCCATCCTCAGAAAAGTCTTACCAGCTTCTTTCGTTGAAGTGATAGTGTAGGAGATTGGACCGCTTCCAATATCGTTGACTGCAGCAATGGACACGTTGCACTGGGTGTGCGGCTTTAGGTTCTCGATGACAAAGGTCTGGAGAATAAACCCCACAGTTACAACGTATAACCCACACAAAGACACACACACACACGCACGCACGCACACATGCATACACACACACACACACACACACACACACACACACACTCACACACATATACATATACATACACACGTACACACACACATCCATATCAGTTAGCCAATAGGCGTGCTATGCACACCAGCTGCTTCGAGAAATGCACACTCCACACGTGTGCAAGGCTGACAAAAACGGCCACAAATAGCTTACAAATAAGCGACGTGGAGACAATGACCGCGGAACGAATATTATTCATTGCTATCAACAATTAGCTTAGCCTGGTGCCAGTCGATAACTGACCCATCCCATGATCTAAGCTTAGCGTCAGAATACATATACTGCACAATGCACTGATCGACATGCTGTACAGTATTGCACACATCCTGGATGAACTTGCACTTCTGGAGCGGCTATCTCCTGCTGACAAGATCATTTTCACAGTGCAAAAAGCCTACTTACAGTATTATGCGGAGGAATCATTATCGGCTGCGTAGACAAATTGCCACAATACCAATTCAACCGATAATTCCGTCCATCGTCGCTATTCCAGTTGGAAATCGCAGTCCAAGACAATGCCAGACTGTGGGTGCCTGGGACGAGGCTAGTGATGGACACACTGTCAGAAGGCTCTGTCAGCAGCACAAACAACAAACAACACATTGCAAAAGAGAATCATTCGTAGCTTACCAATACAAACCAATGACAACATTCAACACATGCCCCCCCCCCAATGCATAAACAGCATCACTACCACACACATTCAACACCGCTTCTCGCTTCCCACTGAAACGCCTCAGGTAGTAAGAATACCCCTCACCCACAAACCCACACGAACACACATACCAACGCACACACGCACATGCGAAAGCACACACACACATACGAAAGCACACACGCACATACGAACGCACACACGCACATACGAACGCACACACGCACATACGAACGCACACACGCACATACGAACGCACATGTGCACACACATGCACTTACCCTTCTTGTTCGTCGTGGCGTCCTTGTTGACCTCGGTGTCAAACTGGTTATTTGCAACATTGAGCCGCACAACGTACTTGCGATTCGGCGAGAGGTTTCTGAAAGTGTAGGCCAGTGCGGTATGGTCAACAGCAGGAGTGGGGAGAACTTCGGCTCCACTATCAGCAAACCTCAGTTCAATAGTGAATGTCCTGACAAATGCAGGACCTGGACCACCATCATTAAAATCTATTGGCTCCCACGTCACCATAATAGTTGTAGCAGTTGTTGTTATATCCGATACAACCGGTTGAGGAGGTTCTGCACACAACGAACAAACAACACACTGTGAATCACACTGGCACACATATTGGCACAGATACACAGCTACACACACGCATGGCTGTTGACGAAGTGATGATAGCGCTGGATATACATGTACAGTGTCCTGGCTATTATGGTTGACCCCATTCTCTTCCTCTCCTGGATACATTTCCAGGAAGCCCTAGATTATGAATATTGAGTGAGTAGAACTGAGGTTGTGATCCAAGGGACACGAAAAAACTGCAGAACTTTGAAAATGTCCTAGGGCTCTCACTTAAAACTCATTAGTTGTGATTCGTTTCTAAATAAATATCTATATTTACGGATAGCCCCTTACATACCGGTAGTTGGTTGAAGTGACTTTTTCTGATCTGTGAATCCTTATGTTCATTTTCGATTTTTCCTCTTTCACTCCTTTTCAGACACACACACCACTACCATGCACTGGCTATAGGAGAATGAGAAAGAGCTTTCCAGCTTGCCTTTCACCAAAACCACCACTTTTTCCAAGGTTAATTAACTGGTGGAGGCACATGCCAAAAAGCTCTCATTTCAAATTGGGCTCATTTGCTTCAAATAGGCTGCTCCTCGCCAATCCAGTATACAAGCACAAATTAAACAAAACAAAAACATGGCAAGGTACTAACGTCTGATGCCAGATGTCTTCACAAGAACACCACTATACTCTGGATACGCCTGTCCATTCACGACTGGGGTAGCGCTGATGAAGATCTCTACTCCGCCGCCATACTGGATGTTGAAGGATGGCTGTGTCGTCTGGTCGAAAGTGCGGTTCCCGTCGAGAGAGTATTTATATGATACGGCCAGAGCGCCATTGTTTAGCCAATCGGCAGGAGGACTGAAGGAGACATTGGTTTTGAACACTAAAGGGCTCAGAGTAGACAGCGGTGTTTCCGTCACACTAAGGCGAGCTGCAGCACAACAGCAGTAGATGAGGATTGCATAAGAATCCATACTTCAAATGTTCTTGAATGTATTGAAAATTGAGGTTACTTGATCACTTTCCAAAGAGGTCTCGTTTCCATGTACAGCACTGGGCAAAAGACTTCACTACAAGCAATAAACAATACGATTAGTACTAGGTCCTCCAACAGAACTTTGGAGGCAGTCGAAATGCAGGAGAAACAACCAAAAAGCCCAGACAAAATGGCCAGAACACACAGCAACTATGAACAATTCTGGAAATTTTTTTTTTTTAAACAAGGAAAACGGCGGGGCACAAGTTATGCGTTAAGTCCACCAAATAAACCAGATTTTGAACAGTCAGACGTGCACAAGGTAGCACCAGACTGACAAGGAGTCCTTGGCTCACCATCCGAGTAATTCTGGAAATGATTGGACGATGGCAGAAGGTTACACATACAGTACACTGACAATGTTTCATTACCCTGATACTTACGCGCAGAAAGAGTTGTGAAGTCCTCTTCCAATGCCAACCCCTCTCCAAAATTGTTTGTAGCCGTCAGCTGAACAGTGTAGGTGGTAGAAGGATCGAGTCCCGTCAAGGTCATTGACGTAGCTGCTGTTATGCTACTGTGGGGCTTCGCTGCGTTCACGAGAACAACACGGTACTGGCGCGAAGGTGAAGAGACACCGTTGTCTTGCCACATAGCATCCATTAGTGCATCCCATGATGCAACAGCCGAGTCATGCACAATACTACCCAGCACAAGATTAGACGGACGCGCCGGCACTGTAAACACCAAAAAGAACACAACATGTGTGATCAATATTCAACTGTGAAGAAAGCAACAAACCAATGACACAGCCAAACCAACAAAACTGTTGGTGTAGGCACACATGTAAAGTAAGTACTTTGGATGTACCAGCACTGTGTTTTAGAGAAGGGCTAAAGCCAGGGTATTCATGTCCGGTTGTCACTTCCTGGTGGTGTGAGGGTGGTAAGGGCGGTGGTGGTGGTGGCGGTCATAACATACCTTGTCTCGTCGTGAAGGACTCAGTGCGCTGTGCACTCTGAGCACCAGATGCAGAGTTGCGATAGGATACATGCATGGTGTAGGCTGTGCCAGGAGTCAGTCCAGGGAGAGACACTAGCTGTGTAGAGCCACTCAGGGTATAGTTCACCGTTTGCTGTTGCGCCTGACCAGCTCCATCCGGACCATAGCGAACAAGGAGTTTATCAGCTGTTCTTAGCGGCGTGGTGGCCACATTGAAGCTTGCAGCATTGGGCGTGATGGACACTTCTGTGACTGATGCAGGGACAGGTGGCCGCTCTGTATATACACACAAAACGGTGCAGCAGTCCACAAGTCAGACCACTATACTGTGCTAGATTTTTTCGACTTTCTACTTCAATGACACTGCTCACCGGGAAAGGGGAAATGGGAGAACATGAAAAAAACAATAGAGAACAATGGGAAGGTGGGTGCTACAGAATAGCCGTGTTGGTGAGTCTGGAGCCACACCACTGACCAGTATCAGCATCAGAGCATCCTCCAAATGAACCACTGCAGATCTCGTACTAGTATCAGAAACTTTCGCCATCGGAAAAGCTTCGCTACAACAGAATTATACTAGCCACGTATAACTACAGTCGCAGCAGCTAAAACCTGACCTCACGAATGTAAAACACACACACACACACACACACACACACACACACCTACATAAACACAGGGGTTGCATGGCGCTAGCACTGGGAATGCATCGGGATGCAGTGAACATGGCTCCGCAGTGTTCATGGGCCTGGATTTCTCGAGGGCCAGCCGCAGCACACACAGGATACTAGCAAAGCAACTGGAAGGCACTATTACATATACTGGTTCCAGTCCTGGTGGTGACAGTCAATTCTCTCTTCAGACTTTACCCTTTTCCATTCCCTTTCAACTAATGAATACATGTAACTTACTGCTGTTAACATTTCCAATGACAAAACTACTCACCAGCAGAAATGAAATCTACACTAGCCATCTCTACTGATCCCGTGTCCACATCTTCAGTGACACACTCGAGTGTCTGGAGAGTGGCATGTATGTGATGTACGCGGAAGTAAAGAACGTTGTCCTCGATTATGTGCCCGGCAGTCTCGTCAATGGCAATTGCATTCCGCGTCCAGTTGAACATTCCTCTTGTGAAGCCGGACTCCGTGCACGTTACATTCACTGAGGACATGAACACAAAAAGGACACCATGCACAAAGTCCACAGGCACAAGTTGTTGTTGTTGTTGTTTCAAATCTTTATTCTCACGATAGCCAGTGGCCAATAAGAGATAATAGTGTGAGTTGTTGTTGCTGTTGTGGTTGTTACTTCTATTGTAGGTTTATTCAACATCGCGTGTAGCACAAGTTGATACAACACCCATTGAATTTGCGTGTGCAGCGGTGGTTTGGAAAAGCTATCCAATGATCAACAGTGCAAAGAAGCACAGCAAAACCTGAAACATATCTGCTTAACTAACATCAAGCTTCATCATCGCTCGGTACATACGTGAAGCTCTGTTAAGCTCACGCACGTTCATAATATACCAGCTAAATACATCATTAGTATAGTCATATTTCTATCGAACACGCTCGGCAAAGTCACCAAATAGGAGGAACGATAGCACATGTGATTTCCATATGTGCTGATTAGATAGCAATGGGTTAAACTAGGCACATTGGGCGACAGCAACAACTTACGCCATTGTGGACTAAACTGGTCCCCACCAAGGTGATCCAGTATCACCGTCTGCATTGCAACAGGTGATATGGACACTGGCGATTGCCCATGGCAGCAACCTACAATACAAGCAATCATGCACACACACACACACACACACATACACACACACACACACATACACGCACACACAGAAGGATCGAGAATCAGAAAGAGGGTCATGACAATATGCACTCTCATCGTTTTCAAACCAGATTTCGGCTAAATTGGGCTCAAAATATCATTTCCTTTTAGTATAATAGTGATGTACTGCAACATGTACTATACTGCATCCGTGTTATGGCAAGGTTGAGAGGCTGCATTTATTTCTTGCTTTTGACATGATTTGTAACGTGTTTACGTGGGTGCAGGGCACCCTAATTGCGCCGCAGAGCTGGGAGCAAGCTCATCATTTCTCGACCAGTGCCCCTTGAATGATTTGTATGCTGACTGCATTAATATAAGTGTGTTCTGCGTCTTTTGCAGGCATGCTTGGTAAATTTATTTGCATTCTTTTAAAGAATGACCCACTTCTTACGCAGGGATGCATAATCCTATCACAATTGGAATCAACCGTGTTGTGTGACCGGTCCTTTCAATGTCCTCAGTATCTTTCCTTTTCCATCTGGACTCCTCGTCGCCCTCTAGCTATTCTCTTGTGCCTTCTTGCCACTATTCACTGATGTGGGGCTTTGAACAAATCATGGAATCAATGTACTGCATTAAACTGGTGCAATGGCAGTAGGGTAGTAATGACGAGAGAGAGTACATGTACTATCTAGTGTGTGTAATAATAATATTATACTTTACTTTACTCCCTGATGGAAAGAAAACGTTATGTGCGAACAGCAGCAGCAGGTATGTCTGACAAGGAGGTCGAATGACTATGTGCATGATTTCTAAAGAAGAAAGCTGCTGCTCAGCTGTCCAAAGAAAGAACGTGGGTCAAAGACATCATACAGACATACTAGTGCTGTTGTGGTGCATTCATGATGCAACCAAACCGGTACGATATTAGTACCAGCAGTCCCTGATAGCGGCGAAGCATCTCTTCACACGCAGAGCGCAACACCAACAGGCTTCAGGCAAAACACATATTGGGATTTAATTCTCGACAGTGCCATTATTGCACAGCAAACTGAAAATAATCTTCGGGAGAGAAGTCAACTCCGGAAGCTACTAATCAGTTGGGTAACTGATCCAGTTCTGCCACAAGAGAAACAGGCCAACAAACAATGATGCGAACCCATGCACACCCTCACAGGCACGAACCAGAGCGCAGGAAACTAACTGATTGACCCCACCAGCCTCCAACAAGGCTTCATGCCCTCCCAGGTACAAAGAAAACTTACCAAGAACGCAGAGAAAAATAGATACCAGCAAAGCAATGCCGCGACCAGCCCTGGACGGAGGCATTCCTCCAAATCGAAAGGCAGCCGACGCAGCCAAGGTTAGGGAAGCCTTCTGGTTAGTCTAAACCAGGGGCTGATGGCCTTGACTCAATAGCTAAAACACTGCTGCGTGCACCGAAACAGAAATCCCTCACTACCGTATCAACGGAAAAATCGATCCCAAGTAGAAAATCTGTAGGTAGGAAGACGAAGCGGCTGCCGCATGTGCAAGGACCAGCCGATCACTGCCGGTTTAGGCGAGCAGCCCTACACTCGCTAGAGATGACCTAAATGTTGCTACAGCGACTCGTGAGCTGGCTGGAACGCCTGAATGCCAAGGACTCGAACACACCAACTCGAGCAGAACTCAACAACTCACCAACTGATCCGGTTGCCAGATGCAAGATTGCCAAGAGTTCGTGAAAGCACAAGCCAGACCAGGCTCGATTCATTTTCGATGTGCCGCATGCACACTGCACTGCCCTAGTCAGAGGCTGAGTAGTCTACATAGTCATTGCTAGTGCAAACGCTGTCTGTAGCCTGGCTTTGACTTGCTCGCTTTCATGACAGACTCAGTGAGTCTGTACAGTACTAGTAGGGCTGGTACTGTAGTTACTAGTGTGGGCTTCACTGCACAGTGCACTGCACTGTTCACAAGACTCGGATGCGTGGGCGGCAGAGCAAAAAATAATTCCGATTTTTGTGATTGCCGGCACTTTTTACATGTACGATGTAGTATGTATAATGCCATGATGTATGATGTATGATTATACAGTACTACTACTAGTACTGTAGTAATACTAGTATGACATTGTAGATCTTCCCACCCATACAAAACTTACAAGGCGACGGTTCACAACACAACAACAAAATACACAAGCACACTGCCACTGCCGCCCTGGCACTGCTCTCGATCGAGTCGAGGTAACGATCGTAGAGAGATAATGGTTCGTCCTCAGGGACGCGTTCATTTTTCATTCTTTGTTTTACTTTTATTTTGCTGTCATGTCAGTAGCCTGCACCACGGTCACACTCACAGCCTTATCAGAGCACATGTGCATAGTAGCCATCCACTCCAGTATCGTGCTAGTTCGGTCCGATCTACCATGATCTACTCCTCAGGCTCAAGCCTCAACGGCTCGAGCCTTCATCAACAACTCTAGTCCACGTAAACCGGTCAATTCATCAAGACGTCTGTGTCAGTGCGCTCGCGGTCGATTTGGCCACTCACGCATAATTATGGATGAATGAACAGAAAGGAAGGCTTCTACGTTCATTTTCTAGTTCTACCACTACATCATGTACCTAGTACTGTGTAGTAGTAATGACTTTACTCTTTAGTTATGTACCTCACTCCTCACGACCTCACTGTCCTCAGTGCAGACAGTGTACAAGGACTACCTGTGACGTTGGAAACAATCGCGGTGAACCGGGCGAGTCACACGGCTGCTGCACACTCGACTAGGGCCAGTAGGGGTACCGGCGGTCAAAACTCCACAAGACCACACGTGCAGAGAAAGCTGAAACTCAGTTAGTGAATAGCAATACAGTGTAACAAGGAACTGGTAGGTCTACAATCATGGTGCAATGTTTCGAATACTAGTACACGGACGGACGTGTGCGTGCCCAGTTCTCGACTCGCTTTTCCGACTCTGGCGGTGTGCGACATACAAACACGGTCACTGCTCCGCGATCAGCGCAGTAACACTACACGTAGTCTACGTAGACCTATGTATGACAAGTCAAAAGAAAATAATAATGTAACTGTGTACATGTATAAATAACATAACTAATTACTTGTAATAAAGTCATAACCACGACGTGGTCTGTAGTCGACAAGTCCGTACCATGGTAGACGAAGAGTAGGACTTGACTGACAGTCTGTGTTGATCTGCGCGAAGGCTTTAGCGATCGTGCGACACTCGGGTAGATCTACGGGTCAGGATGCGTAAGCCATGGTAAACGGCCACTGAGTTCTTGTGATTCGCCGACACTTGGTGACAGGAGCGTGTCGGTTGTGTTACCAACTAAAAAAATACTTACCACCGCGTACCGGCAGGGTGCCTTGCAAAGAGACCGACACTGGTAGTAGTAGATATGGTGACATGGTCAACCGCCTTCCGAACCACCAGGTATGGGTCATCGACTCATCGTCACTGCACGGTGACTTCATGTGCACCAACTAACGACATGGCGTCCTTTCATGCGGTTTACCGCACGGATTTATGAAGTCGGACACATTCCGATTTATTTGCATCAATCGCACAAAATTAGGTACATTTCTCTTGTAAACCCTGTCAGTTTGAGAATTTAGACAAACACCGAACAAATTTTAGCCGCGACGAGGATCGGGAGAAATCCATCATAATTATTAACATAGCTACTACCATCACGTCGACCGAGTGAAGATCGAAATGATAATGGAGTGGAGAGAAGAAGACCTGAACTAGAGTGCTTGAGAGACTATGTAGTGTCACATGAGAATTGCTTCGTTAGGAAGGCTCTCCTTTTGAATGGAGAAGCCCAACGTCGCTGATCTGCATCGCCGTTTTCAAGCGCTGATCTGCAGTAGGAATGTTTTTGTAAATTATTCGTAGTTGTGGACGTGGATGGATTCAGCGCTCTGTTCTCTCAGCAAGCCTACTCAGTCCAACACGAAGGACTTCCATGAGCGAAACAACGTGCTCCTCGAGCAAGTGCAGCTCGGGGTAATATGGCCAATGCCACGGTAGACCACCTCGTGCCTGCATAAGGCCAAGAATTGATGGCAAGAAATCTTTGATGAGCGCCTTCGACTTCAAGGACGCAATATTATATCTCCTCAGCAGTAACTGCAGCGGCTCTTGCTGAAAATATCACTGCCAGCAGGCACTAGGCATGATTTAGTGAAGAGCTACTTGTACTAGCGATTGGAGATTTGGTGTTGGCATATCTGCTCCATCATGGTAACTGGTGCGTTTGTCAAGGCAGTGCAGTTTCTGCTGCTGTTTCACAAGCCATATGCGCATATGCGCAGTGAGTAGGAATTTGTTGTATGATAGCTGAGGATCACCAGCCTTCATGGACAAACCTATGTTGGGACTGGTTGCTGAACAGTGCACACCTAAATCTCTCAGCAAGCTCTCTTGCTCAGCTGGTGACGAACACTATATACCCGCTGCTTTGGGCTTGCAGCCCCGTCTCCCGACCGTAGACCGATCGAAAGGCTGTCACGGTCCTGTGACCATCGGCGTACAGTTGACACTGATGGGGCATCGGATAAAGTGCTGGCGTCAGTAATTCTCTTGTATACCTGGAATCTACATCTACAGCTGGTTTCGACTTCCAGCCATCCTCCGTTAGTTATGCTTGTGACTATCATGCCAGCAAGTCGATCAGCAGCATCACCTCGCATCTTTGATGGTGAGGCCTGCAAAACGTCACCGACCAGTGACGATGCTCAAATAGGGCACCCTACCAGAGCTGGCGCAGTGTATGGTGCAGTCTTTCATGAATCCATAAACTATGCTGTTCGGCTGCTGTAGCTCTGACGCTTGCGTGTGTGCCTTACATTAAGGGCAGCGGGCCGTCTGCTCTAGCCATTTGCCAATGCATGCACGGCTGAACGTCTACCAGCAAGCTGCAAACACTTCTCTCTCTACCTGTGACATAGTGGACATTGTGCGTGTGTTATTGCATTCCTATATGAACTGTTCTGGATGCAGAGATTTACCCACTAAGCCCTAGAGAAATATGAATAAATACTATACTACTATTACTAAACTTGGTATGCGGGTGTGACGTGCTGCTGCTCATCAGATTCGGTCCATGCGACGCTCGTGTTTTTAGTTTTGTTATTTTGTCTTCCTTTTTTGAATTCGTAAACCAAACAGACTAAACTATCCAGTGATCAGGTACTGGTGTGGTGGGGCAAGGTTTTGTTGGTGATGCTGCTGTCAGTGGTGGCGGCGTGCATGTGCTCGTGCTTGCGGGCGATGGCCCGCGTTTTCTCCCATGCCGCAAGTTTGTCTTGCGTTTGTGTTTTGCATTTGGACTTCCTGCCAGGCTTGGAAGACTTGCATTTCAAACAGTTTGTCCCACTGTGTGGCTCCCAGTCTTTGAACGGTGTACATCCACCTCTGGAGCTCCAGAGAATGTTGGGCCCCTGGCAGTAGCAGTGCATTCCATGGCCAATTTGCAAGTGTGGCAAAAAAGTTCAGGGTGTATTTGGTTTCATCCACATCAAGTTGAGATGAAACACTGCCAAAATGGATTGAGTATGATCTGCCACACGATACTTCGTCCGTCCACTCCTTGACGCGAATTTCTCCCCTCCAATACGACAACACGACGACAGGAAGCTAACATGAGCCTCCATTTCTGAACAAAATAACGTCTCTAACATGGCCACGAAAAGCTACAGTTATGCACGTCAAGCTTAGGAATACACGAAATCGAAAGGCTAGGACATCGAGGTATACTAGAAAATTGTCAGCGAGGCGGAGAAAATTCGCTGACGAGGTTGGTGAGCCCTTGAAATCGAGCGACGATCCAAAAATAATTGCACCCACGTCGAGAAAGAAACCATGCGTAGCGCGTGGGTAACCCAAAAAGATCGCTCGAGCGGCGGCACAGTCGAAGGCAAGGCCAGTCCAAGCTCTAAACTCTATCGAATGACCTGGCAAACACCCGTGGTTTCGGTTGACCTTGCCCGTTTGAGATGGAAGTCGAGCGAAATTGCAAACATACAACTAGGCCAGGTCGCGTAAAAAATGAAAAATATTAAAATTTGGCCGCCATATTTAATGAACGCCCGTCGCATGCATGGGACAGCCGTGACTGACTGAGAGTAGAGCTAGAGTCGAGTCGAGCGAGCTGTACTTCCGGTGCCGAGAGGCGGGCTCACACCCCTGTCTGGAAACGTGATGTCTCACGATCACCCTGCCAAGAAGAAGTCCAGCCATACATGTAGATCTACATGTGCTGCCCGAAAAGTAAAAGAAAAACACCGTCTGAAGTCTGAACTGGCAGATCTATGAGTATGACTACTACTACTATTATTCCTCACGCTCGCAGTCACACGAGGTATTTTTTCTGTTTGGCGCGCATGAGCAGTGCTGAAACCGAGACCCGGGCCTTGGTCGGTTGAGCTGCTCTTGCCCCGCCTCCACTGCTTCGGCTGCCATCCCTATGTGTATCCCTGTGCGTTTTTGCCGGTATTTGCACCATGATGGTTTGAGGCTATTTTGTAAGTAAAAACAAAACAAAAAAACGAGTACCGTAGACTCTCTCTCTACTCTGAGTAGTCCAAGCGCATACCTATACCTAACGTCGTTAGGTATAGGTATGCGCTTGGACTACTGACACTGTGAGCCTGTCTCGGCTGTCCGTCTGCTCGACGAGCCCAAAGGACCTTTAACACTCGAGTCGTTACAGATTGATACTGGTCCCCACGCAGAGGTTGTCACACTGGAAATAACATCCCTTCCAAAGTTCCAGGGGCGTCGGAAGGCATTTTAGTGCGGTACGGTCAGCCATCTGAAGTGCAATTAATTATTTACTCCTGGGGGAGTGGTGGCTGAGCCGAAAATTTTGGAATTTTAGATCCCAGATCAGTGTATTTTATTGATTCACGGGAACCTGGGGCAAAAAGTGGTACGGTCAATACCGTAGTGACCGTACCATGTCCGACGCCCCCTGCCTTCCCTTGGTCCTCACAGATGGTCGTCAATCAGAGTGGTTGCCTGGACAGATTTTACTGACTGTACCGCGGCATTACAGTAATAAAGCCTCGGCTCTTGTACAGGCAAATGTCAACAAACCACGTCCACCACGTCCACCGCCACCACCACCAACCAACCAACCAACGTTTCCCCCCCCCCCCCCCCCTCTATTTCTCCTCTTGCACACTTTTATCTCTTATTGGCCAGTGGCGGCTAAAGTGAGAATACAGATTTGAACAACACCCCCCCCCCCCCCCCCTTCCCAGCGAGCGACTTACACAGCCAAAATAGTGCTGCAAAACTGCCTGTAAACGTACAATGTACATGTACATGTAGATCTACTCTCTCATGGGAAGGCAAACTAAAATCATAGCCCTAAGGAGTGAAATATGCAGCAGTATTTGACTGCTTAGGTATAGCAAAAATCTATGGGAGTCAATACTAAGGGAATGATAAATGACTGTATTGAGTATGGGCCTTACCTGTACAAGACATACATGTGCAAGACATTGTACACTGCTTTGTATTTGTGCATGCCAGTCATCAGCAAGCAGTAGAGAATCATCTTCCTCAGTGCAGGCCCGGTTCCTGTGTGCATTGTCACCTGCATGCTTGGCTACACTTCCTTCCCATGTCCCAGGTCCCATGTCCCGGGACTGCACTGTGCATGCTACGCATTTGGACGTCTCAACCTGGATCACTTCCCTTCAGTACAGCATGATGCCATTCAAGCAGTGCAGATGTCCCACAATGCTAGCCTCTACTTCCTGTCTACTGTATCCAGCTTGCATCACGCAAGTACAATGCCTGTACACTGTACATTGTGCATCACGCAAGTACATGTAAATAATAATAATAATTCGCGGGATTCGCGTTGGCATCGCCTGAATGTTCAGAAACACACAAACTAGCCTTCGCTTCCGCAGGCCACCACTATGCCTATGCCTTGCACACCTTAGTGGCGAATGCAGACCTCACAAGTGAGTCAGGGGAGAGTTGGTGAGTCTCTCAACCAATCATACATGTACAATGTGCAATCATGTAGATCTGTGCCTCACAAATCCTTATCAATAACGCTTGACGAGTGGTGCGTGCTAATACGGACTCCACTATTCAATGGCAGTCTTCCACACTCATTGGCAGTCTTCCACACATACTGGTATGCTTCGCAGCATAGCTACGGTATGATCGTAGAATGTGACTCTGTTGCACACTACTGTCAGTACTGAGCCACAGTTACCATAGTTACCTAAGCCAAGGTTGCTGAAAGTATGCCCAACTGGACTGCAACATCAACAATATTACTGGTACATGTAAATAGAATCTGGTGCACATGCACAATACGTCATTTGCCAAATACGTCATTTGCCACACTCTTTGGGGGGGGGGGGGCATGGTTGCTCAGCTGGATTCTTTCCTGTTTCTAAATAATTCAAAGCATGCATGCCATCTAATTGGCTGGCATTGCGGAGTCTGTGTCCGCCCTGCATTGATGCCTTGATGACACTAGTCACTACCCTCTACACTGAGCATTACAGAACACAGAACACAGTCACTCTGGGGCACTTACAATGTAGTAGTAACTTAGTGACTTACCACTGTGGCTTAGGCGCTTAGCTATTCACCCTTGCAGTGGGTCAATGTGTGACCCTTCAGACTCAGAGATGACCAGACTCCGGTCCGAGTGCGTGGGTGACCTGGATACAGGATAGCCTGGCCGCCGGCCGCATTCAGCAAGATGTGCAGCTGTACTGGTACTGCATGCTGCAGCCTGAATGCAGTATTTTATAGATGGCAAGGCAGCACAATGTAACAATGCAATAGTAAGTGGTACTAGGACTACTTGTGGTATCCATGGACCATGGTACAGTGCAAGTTGCAGTCATTGCTTGTATACTGCATGCATGCAGGGATCAGGGTGAAGTATATACATGTACATGCGACATGACATCACCAGCAAAGCCCTAATGCATTGGATTATACTTTATAGGGGGCACTACAGTATACTGGATCAGAACTGACAGAATTATTTAGAAGTGGATCAAGGCAGAACAAGGCTGCAGCCATACAGTGCCCCAGCACCAATACAGTCAGTGTACATGTACCAGAGTGCACTGCACAGACCTGCCCCCGCCACCCCCCCCCCCCCCCCCTATACAGTACAAGTGCCTGGCTGGTCTACCAGACTGGCAAGCAGTTGCTTGGAAAGTAAGTAACTTGCAGCTATAGATGAAGCAAATCAAACGATGTGACTCATAGGAGTCATAACAAGTGGGCTGAAACTCCCAGGATTATTACATCAGGGCCAACTCCTAAAATCTTACTTTAGTCTGAGAAAGTCAAAAGATGTGCAGCCTTGCTACATCGTAACATGTACAATGGTGTGCCAACACAATGTAATGAAATTTACTCACCGGCGAAAAAGGGCTTTTCACAGGAACTTGAATATGGAAGGCGTGTATGTTGTGGCTTGGAACATCGCCATGAGCTCCGACTTGTATCACAGCACGAGATGGACCTGCATGAACCAACACTGAATGCACACCGTGAACCGGCACACCAGTGAAAGTATAAACTTGCATCAGGGCCAGGGGCCAGAGCTGTAGACAAACTGTGACACAGGTTAGTACTGTCAGCAAGTATTAAATGGCAAATAGACCAACCGCATTACAATGCTGTACTCAATGTGGTTTTTTTTGTTTTGTTTTTTCTTCTTCTACAAAATCCACATATCTTCATTATTCACCCCAGTGTCTGGAGATATGTGCATAATATTTTGTGCAAATAGTATTGTAGTCATTAGGGCATGAGTACACAGCCATGCCCTTCCCCCCCCCCCCCCTTCCCAATTCAGATAACCTGATAGTTACATTGTGACCTTGTGGGCAACATGCACAATGTATTAGTATTGTGATCTGCTGATTTCACAAACTTACATCAGACCTTGATCAGCTACTAGTACACTGCATGTTGCTACTAGTAGTAGTACACTGCATGTTGCTACTAGTACACTGCATGTTGCTACTGCTCTACTAAAGCACTGGTAGTATTGCCACTGAAGTGGATATAATCGTATGTAGTTTAGTGGGTGGATTGATTCCAAAATAAGTTAGAACACGGGTCCATCACTGGGAGACACATGATGCAACATACCACATTTTTGCTCAATCACTAGTGTTTATTAGTGAAGTGTCGTAATTCTCTGTTGTACTTCAAAGTAAGTTCTAAAAAGATCCCAGGCCAACGGTAAAGACCCATACGGCACCCACACAGGCTGATAGCACCATGCCCATGGGCGAATGATCGCACCCCCACGTTTCTTTATGATTAAAACACCATGGCCACATGGAGCGCAACCACGCGGATGATGATAAACAAAATTATAAATATCGACGCTGGGCAATTCCAAATATGGTGTGCGTACATGGGAGGCAGGCAGGTAACACGGATTTGCAAGTATAACAGTTTAATAGAAGAAAGAATGCTGCCTTTGTGAGTATACATGTACCATGTGACATCTTTCACACATTGTGTGCCAGCGAGAGAAGGCATGAATGAGTACATAAAGCGATGCAAGACCAGTCACAATGACATCCGCTAGCACATATTATTATTTTTGTACAGTGACGGCATAGCCATGCTGACAAATGACTTGGCAATCAAACTGACAGCTAGTGCGCAGTACGGTGCACGGTGCATAGGTTGAAACATGACTGACCCAAAAATGACACTTTGCTAGTAAAATTAACGGAGTCCGAGAGGCTTAGAATTATCCAGATCGCCCACGCAAGGTGGGACTACGGCTGCCACAGTTGCTGTCCAAAAACATGTAATGCTGACTCTGCGCCTGGCAAGGGACTATAAATCCCCTGCGACAGCAAAAATCCATGACAGATGACAGGGCACCTCAGCGACCTGCCCGAAGCATGTGACAGTCATGGTATCTAAAATGCTGATAAGAGCAACAGACATATTACTGTATGGCTGTCCACTATCCAATGTACAGTGCGGTGGAGTCGTGCAGGATTCAAAGAGACCGTATATCTATTCCGTCATCACAGAGACAACCCCCCACAAACACACACACACACACACACACACACACACACACACACACACACACACACATGACTGGCCATGCACTGTTGTTGACCATACTATAAAGGACGCCCTGCCAAATTAATTAGATTCCCAGTGGTCGCTAAGGTGTATTTGTTTATTACTTGTATACGTTTCAATAATGTCGCAGAGACACTTGCCCATCCTCTCAGCATGCTTATGCATGCGTATGCTTTCTGGGCAGGTGAGTGCACCCAGCCCATATTGCATCAAGGCACTTCAGCAACCATCACCAAGGCAGGTGTCATCACGGCAACAGCATGCACTTGGCGACGGTTCTTAGAATATGTCTGACTTTTGTTTGTTGAACTAAACTTAGGTAGCTGTATCTCTGCTTTATCTACGTACTGAGTGGGACAAGAAGGTGTGAATATCGTCGCACCGTTAATAGGGACTGATAAAGGCAAACCTACGTGTACAAGGTCTCAAACATCAAGACCCCACCACTACCTCCGTTATGCCCATCCACTAATACAGAGTACATGCGTAGACCAGGCCTAGTTCAGCTACCAGTAAATAGAATGGCCAGGTGAAGGTTTACCACAATAATTATCATTTGTGAGAAGACCTGGCCTTGCATTGATTGGATTGGATTAGTTTATTTAATGTCGAAGAAAAAACAGGCCCTGTTGCCTTATTACATGAGATCAACTACAGGCATTGATTGGTCCGCAGTGCATCGGTTTGTCCCTTCCTTCAAACAGCCTCCAAGCCACAGAGGCAATCATTCTACGTAGCCATGTCAGTGTCAGAATAGCTGTCACATCGCCACTACAATCAGCGCCAGTCCGCCAGTCCGTCAATGCCACAATCAAGGTAATATCCACGACTGGACACAACAGCCACAGAGGACGAAACATTCCGATAAATAGCAAATTTATTCCTCGCTCTCATCAATCTCATCTTGCCCGTACACCGAGCATTGTATCGCAACCACATCATGTGGTTGGAATGCTTCACTAGAAATTCAAATGAAAAAAAAACCAAGTACCCAGTTCCGAGTAAGACGTCAAACTAAACTTGAGATAAACATCGCCACTCTGTTCAATGTACAGCTGTAATCTCAAGATCATTGTTACCAGCAACATGCCTACTTAGCTAAGCAGTGGTCGGATATGTACAGATAGGAGGTATACAGCCAGATCTAGGATGGAAACCGGTTACAATCAAGGTTAGAAATCAACAGTTAACTTCTTCAGTTGCAAAATAGTCCTCGCTGGCCCCAAGAGCTGCGGCCGCTGCGGTCTCTATGCTACGTCCGCATTCCGACGCTCGCCGCTTGCGATTGCTGGTGCGGAGCTGCGCCGAGCGCGTGAACAGTCCGGCCTCGCTGTCGGGCGATACCACTCGTGTGGTCGTGCTTGCCTCGTGATGGCGTGAGTAGGACGTGACGCTGATCTGCTGTGCTGCACCACTACCAGCACCACCACTGCCACCACTCTCCACTCCTTGCTGCTGGGCGCTGGCCAGTTTTCTCCGCGCGGTGCCAGGCGTTAGAGCAGTCAGCGCTGCGTTCCGGTCGCGTATTACCTGCCGTATCGTAGTCACCGCGGCTGGCTTTTCGCCGTCAGCTCTGTGCAACACACAGCACCGACAGGACACAGCAAAGGTGTTGGATGCTGCTGTACGTATGCCCATAAAGCTGTTCAGCAGTTCAGTGTTGCACATCATATCACAGACTGAGCTGTACAGCGGTCATACGAGTCTTCAGCAACAGCGGTACCAACCCATTCAGGACTTCATTCTGGGCATGCAGTCGTTTCATTGAAGCCCCATCCACCGGTCAACTACAAACAAGACTCAGCCAGCACATTCAGCACCGCAAGGCGCTGTTCCATGTTACATGCCCGAACCATGCGTACAGCCTTGGAACGGAAACAACATGCACAGCGATCCTCTTCGTCTACCCTGGCTTGATTACACCGCTCCAACTGTACAGTCAATCACTAGGTAGAGTTACACACGGAATATTTATACTCCTGCCAAGCTTAAGTTTCTTATCCGGATTTCATGGTTTATCAGTGTTCACTCACACAATTAGCATTAATTTACTACTCGTTTCATGGCTATCCGCAATTAAAGGGGAAGTTCACCCTAAAATGAAAACTTCACAACCTGTAGTGAAAAATGCAATGATTCCAATGGTGAAAGTCCCAGGTTGATCGGAGCAGCCGTTCCCGAGTTATACATGTTTGAAGTTTGCGCTAAATTTGGTGACATCATGATGACGTCATTAACTTGCCCAGACCAGGCCGGATTTATGACGTCAGAGAGATAGACTTTGTATGGGAGTAGATGGGGAAATTTCAGTATGTTGGCTGTCCATTGCCCCAAAGAAGTCGGATCTTTTTTCAAACTTCAGTATGGGACGCATGGCACTCTACCGGTATCCCAACTGGAAAAAATCTAGTATGAAATTCTTTGTTGCAGAGAAACAAGAAAGAAATTGGATTTCCCCATCTACTCCCATACAAAGTCAATCTCTCTGACGTCATAAATCCGGCCTGGCCCGGGCCAGTTAATGACTTCATCACGATGTCACCAAATTCAGTGCAAACTTCAAGCAGGTATAAGTCCAGAACGGCTGCTCCGATCAACCTGGGACCTTCACCATTGGAATCAGTGCATTTTTTGCTACAGGTTGTGAAGTTTTCATTTTAGGGTGAACTTCCCCTTTAACATTGAGCACTTTGTGCAAGGGTTTAGCGACATCGCGTGTTCAGTGTTCACCCACACAGATTAACGTGACAACAGTCAAGATCAGAGACAGAGAGGGCAGTATGGATGAGACAGCTCGGACCTGGTTGTAGTATAGATCGGTGTCCGGGAAACCGCTATTGGAATGCAAGTACAAGTTCATACAGCACACACACACACACACGTGCCAGTACTCACATGGCTCTGAAGAGATAAGTGGTCACCGGCTGGGTTGTCTTGTTGACCAGCTGCCACATATCAGTCACACCTGCATGTACATGTACAGCGAACAACACCAACATCACACCACAACACCAACAACATCATGATTATACAGGTACCAAGGCAACACGACTGTAGCGCGTGCCCACACACACACGTGCACGTGCACACACACGCGCGCACACACACACACACACACACACACACACACACACACACACACACACAAACACATGCACACACATGCCACAAACATATCCCTCAGGCCACACACATACACACACACACACACACCTACACACACACACACACACACACACACACACACACACACACACACACACACACACACACACACACACACACACACACACACACACACACACACACACACACACACACACCGCACGCACACACATACACACACACACACACCGCACGCACACACACACACACACACACGCGCGCTCGCGCGCGCACGCACACACACCCATGCGGCAGATTGAGTTTTGTGACTAATTTCTGCTGCCTAAGTCTCGAAACAAGTCCTTTAGGTCGGGTTAAGTAAAGGATCGAATACGGTACTTTCTCCATTGTAAGCGTAGGTTTCCATCGTACTGGCACAGATTCCATGACACCTTGAAATATTACTAGCACAGTCTCTATTATAACACAGTGCTTGTAATAGAAATGCTTTGGGATCTCAAATGCTCACGGTGACGTCACGATAGTAATGACTGGCTACCGGGGAAACTGAACGCAAAAAGCTATGAATAGGTATGCAGGGCCTGCAGAAGGCTCGACTCAAGATGAAAACGAAGTTTCTTTCTTCCCTATGTGGATGGTCTCAGGCCAAGATGCAAAGCCGTCGGCTGTATCACAAAGCAATGTACAGTGCGTATCGGTTATAGCGTGGTCGTGTAACAGAATATACTGCCTACAAGAATGAACTCTCATGTTTTCATAATCATAACTTGGATTTCATGTGCACATTTATTCTTACAAGCAATTTTATCGTACAGTAGAATATATCGGTCCTAAGAATGGAATCTGTGTAGCGAAACATGCCAGATCAGTACAAAGTATATCGCCTGTAGTAATAACATCCGTCCAAAGCAGTTCTGATCTGACTCGCTTTGGGTCGTAGTGCTGCAGGTTCAACTATAGTCCTTATGCACATTGTACAGATGTACGAAGTTCTGTACTATGGCCGTAGGTGTGTACATACCCGGTTGGGTGTTCATTGTGTGCTATACATGCGCGTTTGACCCATTTAGCCTCACAATTCATGGCAAACGATCACTTTTCAAGCCTTCTTCACTTTGGGATTGAACTAACGACTAGCTAGATCTCTGCCGGAAAAAGATTTCGTATGAAATGCCTTCATGGCCCATTTCATAGTGGAAATAGCAGTAAACACAATAGGGTCCTGCACATTCAACACCCAACCGGGTCTACGGGATTCTACAAGATTATACGGGATTTCGTGCATCTGTACAATGTGCATAAGGCCTATTGTGGTCATGTAACTCATGTTGCATAGCCACATGGTATGCCTATGTGACTGTGACCAGCCGCATGCACAGTAGCACTACCTTGTATGTACGATGATCTTCCTGCCTCTGCGCACATGCCCATGATATGTCACACTTGATTTATCGTGTGTAAGAAATATCGGAAATAAGAATAGAAAGTCGTTTTTCAAACACCCACGCTATAACCGATACCTACTGTACCTCATAAGCTGTTGATCTCACCCTGTCTACAGGTGCGTGTGTGTGTGTGTGTGGGGGGGGGGGGGGGGGGTCAGAAGATCACACATTCCACTCACGCAAAAAAAGACCGCTGATCTCTTCACTGAGTAGGACATCAACAGAGACGTTTCACTGACATGGCTGATGAGCCGCAAGGGGGAATGGAGAGCCTTTATGCCCACCACTCAGGTATTGTACTTGAAGGCGGCGGGCCATGCAAAGAATTTTATCAGCCCCAGTTGCATGCTAGAAGGCTTTGTGGAGGACTTTGACAAGACTATCAAACACACGCAGCCACTGTGCGACTGAAAGGAGTTTCCGCATGACATGCTCAGTAAGATTGACAGCCTTCTCTATTGGCAGAAAGAAAGAAAGAAAGAAAGAAAGAGAGAGAGAGAGAGAGAGAGAGAGAGAGAGAGAGAGAGAGAGAGAGAGGAGAGAGAGAAAGAAAGAGAGAGAGAGACAGAGAGAGAGAGAGACAGAGAGAGAGAGTAAGAGAGAGCGAGAGTGAGAGGGAGAGAGAGAAAGAGAGAGAGAGAGAGAGAGAGAGAGAGAGAGAGAGAGAGAGAGAGAGAGAGAGAGAGAGAGAGAGAGAGAGAGAGAGAGAGAGAGAGAGGAGAGAGGAGAGGAGAGAAAGAGAGAGGAAAGAATATTTCTAATTACATGTACTTGTACATACCATCAGAATCAGGCAAGTCAACCGCTTTGGCACGTGAGGTGCGGACAACAGTCCAAAACAGCAAGTCGTCCATTGTGACCGCTGACTGCTGCATGGCTGGGGCATCCGCAAGGTTCTGAATTACAGTCAGAACACAAGTACAAGTACAACTTTGTTACAAGCGTGCACGTTGCTGCATAGCTTCCCAAGAGTGTGCAACTCCACATGGAATTGATATGGGACAAGGTGCCGGTGAAAGCTCATCACGTTATGCAGTGTTCTCTCATTGTATGTGTCCGGGCCGCCGCTTCACAAGCAAGAAAGTTGAATAGTACTACTAGAATGGCATCTTTTCTGGCAGATCCAGTGTAAAACAGATTTGCACCAGCATTTGAATATCACGTGATGCGAGTTTCGCCAAGTTGCAAACACTGCGTGTATGTACGCTTGATGTTACCAAGCTTGATGATCTATAGCTACAGCACGAGGAGTGGTTGAAAAAGCTAAAGAGCTTATTTCAACCAGCAGTTGTGCGCATCGTTCGTGTGTCAATTCGTTCTTACTTGTAAAAGTTAAAATACATAATACGCAAGGTCAAAGTCACATCAGTCTGAAATAAAGGTCGCCCAACATACATGTGAACACACTCATGTGCACGTATATCGTTACAAATCATTACTGCCCAATGTTTCACGCTTCTGTTACCGTGAGAGGCCGGAGTATGTCACTTCTCCCAGATCACGCGTATACAAGTACACACATGTGACACACAGACACGCACCTTTGTTGATTTGCGCTTGCCCTTGTGCGGTTCACACAAGATGACTATGATTGTCTTGAAGACTGGAGGGACAAGAACAAATATTTTTTTACATAATTAGGAACATTGGCGCGCATGTGTAAAAAATCCTGTCTAATTTTGACTTGGGAACATGTAAAATATTGCTAAGACAAGATGGAACATAGCAAAAACCAGGACATACGAAGGACAGGCCATTGCAACGTCTATGACTACGTAGCTGTACGACTCGTACACCCAAAATGTCGGATCCTGGTAACACACGGTAGTCAATACCTCATAAACATACTAGCTATACTGTCAACAACACTTATTGCACAACACCGAACGCTCAGGATTATGTCACAAGCAACTAAGAAATTGTCTGGTGGCTCCGTGAATACATTTTAATTCCCGAAGCTATTCAAAAGACATGCGACGTCACAAAGTGGCGTAGGGCGTCTGGCTCAGCCAGGGTCCACAAGCCTTCAAATTGTATCTGCGTGCGTGCGTGTGTGCGTGCGTGGTGCGTGTGTGTGTGTGTGTGCGTGCGTGGGTGGGTGGGTGCGTGCGTGCGTGCGTGCGTGCGTGTGTGTGTGTGTGTGTGTGTGTGTGTGTGTGTGTGTGTGCGTGCATGTGTGCGTTTGTGTGTGTCCAGTCGGGCCGGCAGACACGGTCACGTGACATGCGAACAGAGCCGCACCTCACCACGCATAACAGTTACGAGGCGAGAGAGCTGCGTGCTCAGGGCCCACACGATGCTTGTTCCTGACCTAGATCTTCACACGTTTCAATCGGTTTGAATACTTCGTGTGATGACCTGTGTAAAGATTACGCAAGGGCTCTCAGCTGCTAGCTCTCTCGCTTCGGTGATCACTGTCAGGGCTCACCACGACCATACAAAATTCAAAAAAGCGTCGACCACCATTTTGATTGCCGCGCAGGCCAGCGTTCGTGCAGTCATAGCGGCTACGCACCCGAGTTCGTGCTGGTCAATGTACAGCGATGTACAGTAGAGTTGTGATATACCAGTATTTTACGACTCCCTGGTCTAGTCTGTACAGCGAAGGGCAAGTGCTGAAGAGAATCTTGTTGTTTGATGCCGGGAAAGACACGAGGAGAAGACGTCCTTTCTCCAAGCCATCCTGGTCATTTTTCTCAATCTGCTGGTGCATGCCGACCAAGATGTGTCCGTGAGATACTGGTAAACTGGAGTCCTGGCATCTACACGATTTGGCCGCTCCTAGCTAACCAATGTTGTCAGTAGAACTCAGCATTTCCAGATCACGGCTCGGCTGTTTGACCTCGCAGCTTTCACCCTGCGAGTGTGGAGTTTCCTGGCCACAAATGAATTCCTTAGTCATGACCATGATGACAAGTGACTGGTATGATCCCTGACTGGCCTGAGTCCTTAGCTTGAGTCAACACGAAGGTAAACTCTTCACTTGGAACGCTTGCTGCCTCCTCGGTCCTTCTTGCTGCACTTGCAGATATGCGCACGGCTGCCAGGTTTTGTTGGTGCGCGCGGGAACGCGCGGCCGACCTTGATGTCTTCAAAAAAGTACTTAACCGGTTCTACTTGGCCGATTCTCACGGCGATAGCTCATTTTCAAGGTATTGGAATTCTCTATCGGTTTACCGTCTCCGATTTTTATATTTTTTGTCTTCATTCACTTGTTCGCATGTCTTCGAGTTTGAGTGATTTCATCATCCGATCTCAGCCAAACGAAAGCCGAATCGAAAAATTTGAGACGGTAACCCTCCAAAGATACACCTTCTGAACACAAATCCACAATGGCCTATTAGAGAGGTTCCGGGGTACTAATTTCCGTGCCGAAATCCGTATGGGCGCTACGGATTTTTTCCAGGCGTGCTCCATACGATTTTTCGGCACGGAGAATTCGTGTGGACTGGCTTTCATACGAACCATGTTTCGTATGGAGATTTTGCGTCATCGGGTGCAGAAAGATTTTTCGTGTACAAATTTGGTACGAGAAACATCGATTTTTGCGGGAAGTTTTGATTTCGGTACAAATTTTCAAAATAAAAAGGCATAGCGCGGGAATGTGACGTGTTTGCGATCGTAACCTAGGCAATGACGGCAAACACATAAGTTCCGTACCCCGGAACTTTTCCCTGTTCGAAAACTACGTATAAAAAATACGTAGCGCCTCTACGGATTTTGGCACGAAAAATCGTACTCCGGAACCTCCCTAATGTCTAAAACCAACGAGTACAGCCAAGTTCAGCTCAGAAAACACCCCACAATTGCAAGAAACGGCCCGTTTTGCCGTGCGCTGATTGGTCAAATCCAAATGACCGTTATCAAGAGTACATAACCCCCAAGAGTGTGCAACTCCAGCTATGGGGTCTGCGACTGCAGAACTTCACATCACGTGATGAACCCGTGCACTCTAGTGCATGATAGATACTGGGTTGTACGCAGCCCAGCTTTGGGTACAACTCTCTTGTGGTCACTTTGCACTGTTTGCCAGCATAACCTTTTGAACCATGTCACGTGATGTGAAGTTCTGCCGTCGCAGCACAGCATAGAGGTTGTGCAGGCAGTTGCACACTCTTGGGGGTTATGTACTCTTGCCGTTATTGACGCTTTGTATGGTCGTGGTGAGCCCTGACTGTGCATGCACAGTACAGTCCCGTGAACATGAGGGGGTAGCTAGTCACGAGTCAAACTCCTCATCTCTGACCATAATCCCTAACAGCCGAAATAGCTCAGTTGGGAGAGCGTCAGACTGAAGATCTGAAGGTCCCTGGTTCAATCCCGGGTTTCGGCACTTCTTTTTTTCTTTTTCCCTTTTTTCTTCTTTCTACAAGAGGCAACTGTAAGAAAAGTGCTGGATAGTGATGGTAGCTTTGTTTGTCAAGGTTTCAGATTGTTTTCAATCTTGAAATTCTCTTTTTCGAGGTCAGATGGATCAGGATCAGTGACTGCTAGGTGAATCACCCCAACAGCCCATACAAAAGGTGGCCAGAACATGCGAGTTATGAGTGCTGCATCAAGCAGACCTGACTGCCTGACTAAAAGAGATGTGGGGTTGCAGTACAAGTAGATGACCTCATGGATATCAAAAGGATAGCGGTACTCACCAAAACAATGAGCCCTCGGCCCGACACCTTTCTTCCAGCTATGGCCATGCATGAGAGACTGATTGGCGTTGAGCCACATAACCTCCAGATGTTGACACAGGTCGTTGATCGATGCACTTAGCCATGGCTATGCGCCATATGTACAGATGTGCACACAAGCACGCATGCACACACGCAAGCGCGCGCACGCACACATGCGCCCACACATGCGCGCGTGCACACACACACACACACACACACGCACACACACACACACACGCACACACACACACACACACACACACATGCACGCGCACACATACATACACATGTATACAGATACACACACACCAGTTTATCAATCCACATACATACTGGTATAACTGTTATGTACCTCCACACAGTCAGGGGATACGCTAACGTACGAGGATACGCTAACACGAGGATACGCTAACGTACGAGGATACGCTAACACGGGGATACGCTAACACGAGGATACGCTAACACGGGGATACGCTAACGTACGAGGATACGCTAACACGGGGATACGCTAACACGGGGATACGCTACAATCAAGCAAGGCAGGGATACTACAGTAACAGTGCATGTTGCAATTTTGTGCAAAGGCCAATAGGCAGCCTGAATCACTGATATCCATATGCACCAATCGTGTTTCATACGCTTACTTGTACTTCCTCCGCGGCATTAAAATTGTCGCTTCGTACATCGCAATATTTGACACTTGGCTCGTCTTAGTCAGACTGTCGGAATTGCTGTTTTCTGTGTTCGAACACTGGTGCGACCCTTCCTGCGCAACGTCTACTTGTCACTGAAGCCGTGATGGTCTCGGACTTTGTCGGAGCTCTCTTCCGCACCAAGCAAATTCATCGCGCTCCGCACTATTCCGCCCCAGAGCGCATTTCGTTTTCTGAGTTCGTGCCGTCCCACCTCGTTCGCGTGGGCATTTATCAAGACTGCAAGTTCGGGTATAAGAATCCTGGTATCTCTCCTGAATACGAAATGCTGAAGTTGACGATAGCAAGAACAAAGCGGTCTCAAATTCCTAAAATGCGCTACTTGTGGCGCATGTTGCTGCGAAGGTAGCAGGTCAGAAAACACCAACAAAATCAGCAAAGCGCTTGCCGAGGAAAGAAGGTGCGAAACTGCTTACCCTATCCCGCTGGAAGGTCGTTACAGTGTACTTGAAAAATGCTAGCTTGCCTTCATCGCCTACCACCTAGAGGAATGGATCCCTTGAAAACGAAGTTTCTTAACCTGAATTCGACCGCGCGTCTTGTTCAGCGTATTGTTGAGTGCTGAAGGGTCTGCCTCAAACTCTGATGAATACGTCGACCTTAGCTGCAAGTGCAGCGAAGCCGGGGGGGGGGGGGGGGCACAAACTAAAGCTTGGTCCGTCGACAATGCTCTGCCTCAATTTCTAGCTGATTTCTTTGCCCTTCGAGTGGACAAAACAAATTCGAAAACTCGCTCTGGGAAGCGACAATTTTAATGGCGCGGAGGAAGTACAACCCGCCTGCACCTACAGTCAACTTCGCTAATAACGACTGCGGATATAACGACAATTCGCGAATAACGACAGAATTTCCATGCCCAGAGCAAAGTCCCATCCCACTGTAATACATATAATGAGACTTCGGGCATAACGCCACTTTGCGAATAAGGACACCTTTTTGATGCCCCGCCGAGTGTCGTTATAAGTGAAGTTGACTGTATCTACACTGGCCAGAAAAGTGAGCATACCTCGGTAAAAGCGGACTCCGTGAGTAGCTGGTGGAACAGAACACCAAACTGGTCATTGATACGCTGCATCTCGTTGATGTAGTCTGCCATGTGCTCCATGCCAGACTTTGCCTCTGCCAACGCCAACACAAAATAGACATAAAAATGAATATCCACATCGAAAGAACCAATAACTGCTAGACTAAACCATAAAAGAACAGAACGTACAATTCTACGCTGAGGTTCAAGGCATTTTAGTTGGCACTATCTGGAGACACATGTAGTACAGGTGGTGGAGTAAGGAGCTTACTTCCATCTTGAACAGACCCCTTTCTTCACACTGCAACTGGAGTGCATTCATGCACAAAAGCACACATGCGCACGTGCACGCATGTGCGCACACACGTGCACACACACACACACGTGCACACACCCACACACACACCCACACACACACCCACACACACCACACGTACGCACGCACGCACGCACGCGCGCGCGCGCCCACACACACACACACACACACACACACACACACACACACATGCTACACTTGTACCTGTTAGCCGCTGGTGCTCGGTGCTATCTGGAACAGTCAGTGAGCGCATAGTCTCCAAGAACAATGGGTAGCGCATAAGACGCTGCAGGAAGCCAGAATTGCACGCCACAAGTCAACAATGCAACACACCGGACACAGAGGAGGCACAAGAAACCAAGTTACTTCAAATTACCTGCACAGAGCAGTCTAGAGCATTCCATGCAGACAGGATACAGCAGACAGGATACAGGAGAAGTGTATGCGAATGAATAGCCATGGGTTTACAAAGCAAAATACACGACTACGCTGGAAGGACTCGTGACCAACAGAGCCCAAATTATTCCTGAAAGCAATACTTGAAGTACGTGCTAAGCCGTAGACTGTCAAGTTGATCAACACTTGGGGGCATGACTACCAGTAGATCCAATTGTATGCTCAAATTCACATCAGGAAGAACCTCCAGTTGACAGATTAACATGGCTTGGAAAGAGCGCATTATTAATGAAGCATAATTATAAACGACTTTCAGAATACCTTACCAATATTGGCATGATGAGGAGGGCCGGTAAAGACATTGCGCTGTCCTTCTTCGGATTGCGCACGCGCAAGAACTCCTGAAGCTGTTCATTGGCAAGGGATTCGGCTGTAGCAGTACAAGAAGTACAAGAGACATGGCAACGCAAGGTCCAATCAGACCATTTGAAAATAGTTGAAAAGTAGAAGAACCATCAGCCGAAAGTGTTGTAACCATGGTCACCAAACTGGGACAGACAGACAGACCATAGCTAGCATACAACACTGGGACACACAGACAGACCTTAGCTAGCATTCAACACAACTAATATATTGGAAATCTCAGAATGAATGCATCAGGAGACTGACATCAACACACACACAGCCACAGGACAACCATCAGAAACAGAGAACACACACAGCCACAGTACAGCCATCAGAATACACACACAGCCACAGAATAGCCCAAGGATTCTTGCACAACTGCATTCATCTCAAGAGGAATGTGTATGCTTTTATACCCCTATTCATACAACGTAGTATCACGTTGCTTTCACCCAATAGTCAGACTGAGGACCAGCCTGACCGGTTCCACCGGCCCTGGACTCATGTCCATCTGTTCTTCTCAAATAAAGCCTGTATAACAACTCTACCAGTACTGTACGTGTATTCCACATTCACTCACGTTTGTTGAGGAATAGGTTTGCCTCCATATGACTGACACAGAAGGAACTGTACATCTTGAACCGGCGCATGTAGAACAAAACAGAGCCACTCAGCGAGAAGATCATCAGCTAGGGAAAGGAGGGGGAAAGAAGAAAAACATGGGACAACAATGTATGGGCGCGCAGAAAACTACATGGTATCATGGAGAAGAACTTCAACGACTTGCTTCAGGCGTACATGCCGACTGGGCAGAGGAGCAGCAAAAGCAGCTATCCAGCATAGTTTTTCTCTCTTTTCTGCTGCATACAGTACATTGCTGGCCTTGTAGGTCAAGCTGGTGTGCTTCTCACCATGTGCAGAGAGGCACAGTGTGATGGAACCAAGGATAGTGCTCCACTACTACCTGGCATATGCAACACTCAGTTACACTGCACACGAGCAAACATTCACACATGCAAGTGGAAATGACACATGCCCGTATGCATGGATACACCACCGCTACCACCGACTGCTTACACGGATAGATTGTGCTGAAGCCTTGTCATCGGCGGACTGAATGTGCCGAAGTGAATCCTGAAATGCACACGTACACATGTACACACACACACACACACACACACACACACACACACACACACACACACACACACACACATTGAAAGCAGGTGTACCATGGCATAGTCAGTTCCCAGTGGTCTACAAGCAGCAAAGCCACCATGAACACAATGAGTACAGCACCTTTCCTAACCAGAATTCAAAGTCCAAAAGAACAGATACCAGATACCCTAGTGCCAGCAACAGTAGTAATACAGTCGTCCCTCTCTAATCCGGCACTTTATAATCCAGCACCCTCGATAAACCAGCACAATTTTCAGTAGCCAAATGTCCTCTTCATGCACATTGCAGCAGTAGATCAGATTTGTTAATCCAGCACCCTCCCTAATCCAGCAGATTTCCGTGGCACAAATGGTGCCGGATTATAGAGGGACCACTGTACTTACTTCTAAATCTTGCAGGAATTGGCGCTGAAAAATCACCACATCACGAATATTGCCAAAAACTAGCTCAAGCTGCAGATGGCAACAGCAACAACAAAACAACAAAGGCTAGCAGGAATAACAATAATAGAACACAACTCCCATTGACCTTTGTTTCGGACACAGCAAACGACAATACATTCTCATATCCGACTCTCGCTCGTGCACATCCATTCATCACCGGCATTACCAATAGCACAACAGAACAAGGATTAGTATGTTAGATATCATGGGATTGTAGATTAGTATGTGGGTCATGGGACTGTAGACGGATGGCCCTTTGGATGTGGACTGGGTCAGAAAAGGCCATGCAACTTACCGTTTCCTTGGGAATGAAAGTCTCGAAACGTAACGGCTCCAGGTAGCGGTCAAGCAGGATGGTCAGTTTCTACAAACCCAACATACACCCACACAAGCAGGCAGGCACGCAGGCAGGCAGGCACGCACGCACGCACACACACACACACAAACACACACACACACACACACACACACACACACACACACACACACACACACACATACAGACATGCCCGGTGCAACAAATGCAAACAGTCCATGTTAGACATAGCAACCTGTGCTGGGATTACTAAAAGCATGTCGCTGTTCGCGAATTGTCGCTATTCAGATAGTCATTGTATCCAAAGTTAAATGTATGCAGTTAGATGGGACTTTACTCTGGGCATGGAAATTCCGTCGTCACTATGATTCGCGAATTGTCGTAATACCTGCAGTCATTATTAGGAAAGTTGACTGTATACAGTGCCCATACAGTTCCTATATACGAGTACCTATAATAGTCTATTATACCTACACAGCAGGGGTGTCGGACACGGTACGGTCACTACGGTATTGACCGTACCACTTTTTGCCCAAGGCACTCCGTGAATCATTAAAATAAATACGCTGATCTGGACTCTAAATTACCAAAATTTTCAGCTCAGCCACCCCTCCTCCACGTGTAAACTGTACAGTTCAGATGGCTGACCGTACCGGCACACTAAAATACCTTCCGACGTTGCCCCTGAATACCTACATAGCAGGGGTGTCGGACACGGTACGGTCACTACGGTATTGACCGTACCACTTTTTGCCCCAGGTACCCCGTGAATCAATAAAATACACTGATCTGGAATCTAAATTTCCAAAATTTTCGGCTCAGCCACTCCTCCCCCATAAGTAAATTGTACTTCAGATGGCTGACCGTACCGGCACACTAAAATACCTTCCGACGTTGCCCCTGTGTAACCATAATACACTGTAGTACCTGCATTGTACCCACATGTATTCTACCCATCTTGCCAGACATACCTTGATGTAGTGACGCTCAGTATCCACTAGCTCCTGAGCACACATGGAAATGCGCTTCTCCTTGGATACAGTGTGGTTGATGGATGCGGTGACTGCCACTGGAGGTGCTTCCATTTGTAACGTCAGCAGGTACGCATTCAGCTCTTCAATATTCTGCATTTTACACACACACACACATACATGCACATGCACTGCTAAGAACAGCTATACACGTTAGAGGAAGTACTGCTATCATCTACTGGACGTGACAACTATACACGGTATGGTACTTGACAATAGCCCATTCTCAAACAGAGCAGGGCCGGCATCACTGGTATGGCGGATAGGGCCATGGCTGTACCAGTTTTTTTTACCAATGTTATCCTCGTACATTCCTCACTAGAGTCTATCGCTTTTACTACTCTTCTTGCTCAGTGAGGACTACTGTGCTAGCTGTATATATGTTGCCAGCGGATTGTGCAGCTAACTCAAGCAGACAACTGTGATGCACAGAGATAGCAATGCGTCCTCCTATGATACTGAAATGGGGCTTGGGGAAATTATTTGGCCCTGTAGCCGCCCTGGGGCCATACAACCCCTCGGGAGCTGGCTCCATGGCCTGCAGTGGCGTACTCGAGCTACATAACGAGACACATTGACACATTGGTAAAAGCTTCAACAATTATTGACAGGACTGGGCAGCAACAGACCGTGAATATGAACAAAGACAGCAGATGTGTGCATAGCAGCAGACTTGCAGCATACACGGTGCGTGAGGCCATGCAGACTTCGGAATAATCTATTGTCATGCACATTGTGCCCAAGCACGGACAAACACACATGTGCACACACACAGACACACACACACACGCGCACACACGCACACACACAGACACACACAGACACACACACGCACGCACACACGCACGCACGCACACATGCACGCACGCACGCACTACTCACACACACACACGCACGCACGCACGCACTACTCTCACACACACACACACACACACACACACACATACACACACGCACACACAAACACGCACACTCACACAAACACGCACGCACGCACGCACACACACACACCTGCAGGAACTTGTCGATCTGCTCGGTTTCCACCGCAGCAAAGTTGTCATCCTGGCCATCTTCGTCAACACCATCAGGCTGGTCTTCCCCTGATGAAACACACACACACACACACACACACACACACACACACACACACACACACACACGGAAACATAAAAATAAGTAGGTTATGGATGGTCTTTCAGGTTGACTCGTGTTCACTAACCAACCGCATTAGCCGATAGGGGTCGTCGCAAAAGTTGTTTGTTGTCCTTGAAACGAACATCGTTCATTTTGTACTCGGACCCCTCCCTCTGAAATGAATGCAGCTCGCTATGGTGGACGACGAAAATTGCATGCATGTACATGTCCCCCCCCCCCCCCCCCCCCCCCATGAACGATGTTTGTTTCAGGGACGACACAAAACGTTTGCGACGACCCCTTAAACACTAGTATATTCTAATGGGAGAACACCGCTCTTACCAGGTGGTTTGGGAACCATAAGATCTTCCAGAGAGACATCGGTCAGATCCACAAAGCTGAAAGGAAGCAGAACACAGAGCGCACAGAAAACAAAGCAATTGCCGCAGGACAGCAAGAAATCAACTCGTGCCTGTCGTCCCACCAGCGGGAATGGAAAATAAATGTATTACAGCACTTGTCCAGTGGCAAGGTGGTGTGTATAGATGCATTGTCGGCTTGATCAAGCATTCTGCGCAGAGGGCATGTCAGCGACTGACACCAGACCAGTTCAGCACAATCATGGAGACTGAAGACATCCTCAAAATGTATTATGTGACAGCAGTGCCATTGCATCTTTCTCCTGTTGAAAGTGTAAGACATAAGCTAACAGATAACTAACGGTTTCAACTTTATCCAGCACACCTGCGCACGTGGACACACACACACACACACACCACCCTATACTGTACCTGGGCGGTGCAGGGCAAACAAGCTCATCGATGAGATTGGTATCGGGCACGACACTGAATGCTCCGCACGAACGAACTACCATCGACAAGACAGGTGCTAAGGACAAACAAACAAGAACAGATATAAAGTACATGATCTCGGCAAGTCAGGGACGGCTTTTCCAGAAAGGGGAAGACATGGATGCAGTCATGGATTGATACACATCAAGTATAGCAACAAATCGCAGCATAACAGTTCTTCTGTGTATGCAAGCAGCAGAAAGACAAAGGAAAGCAGCAGAAAGACAAAGGAAAGCAGCAGAAAGACAAAGGAAAGCAGCAGCATTGCCTTGTGCATGTAGTGGTCAGCTGACAGAGAATAGCAGCGATGGCCTGTGTATGTAGTGGTAAGCTGACAGAGGAAAGCAACAGCATCGGCCTATGCAGTCTACTACTCACCCTGTAGCAGCTCAATGATCCTGCTGCGAGTTTGCTCTTCCACAGCCTCCATATTGATAGACAGAATCTCATCACCAATATGCAAATCTGTACAAAGAAAACACATAATCCAACAGGGAAAATGGAGGAGAAGGAAACGGAGGACGAGGAAACGGAGGAGGAGAAAACAGAGGAGGAGGAGAAGGAGGAGGAGAAAGAGATCTTTGGTGCAAGTGTGTGCAATGGTGAAATATTTAGCCTTGCCATTACTGCTCCCGCTGCTGCTGCTGCTGCTGTCATTTTCAGTCTGACAGTGTCCTACATGTATATCTTAAAGCCAGTAATCAAAGTCATGAGCTAGTACAAACACACTACACAGTATACTTGTTCCAATGCCTCTAGCTACCAGTCCTTCATGCAGTGCATTACATGCAGTTCAACTCCGTCCAGCAACCAGTACCAGCCCTCCATGCAGTACATGTACATGTAGTTCCACTGTTCCACTGCCTCTAGCTAAAGGAGCAGTTCTATCAGCAGCTCACCAGCACTGTGAGCCACACTGTTTGCCAACACTTCCGTCACGTAGACACTGGGCTGATCCAGGGCTGCACCTTCACAGATGTCCACTTCAAAGCCTGCACTCCAGACACATAGCAGTAGGTACAAAGAACAAGCAAACATACACAGTCTTGACACACACCATGTGAAGTTCACCCACCGTTCGTAGAGGGCTCAATTTGCCGAAGGCAAAGAGCGGAATACACAGATAGAAATTCAATTTTTGTCTGATGATCGATTCAGTTCGCGAATCTCAGAGTTACGAAACAGCAACTGCTCGTTCTTCTGTTTGTGTCTTAGAACACATGCACACACATACAGGTCAATGACTACAGGATTTCAACAAACCTTTCCAAAGCGATTACGCCAAAAAGCAAGTGTGGTGGCTAGACTAGTACCACAAGTACTGCCTTACACACTACAAACATGCCTAGCTCAAACAGCATACTGTCGAAAATACAGACAGCGAGCGGCACAACTAAGTCTCTACAGGCATGTCAGACAATGCGCTGAGATCAAGAAACATTGAATGGTGTGCAAGCATTACTGACCCCCTCCTGACACCCCCCCCCCCCCCCCCCCTTCCTCACACAGACACATTCAAGAATGCAAGCACATACATGTACGTGTACAGTTGTTTAAGGTCCTCAGGCTGCGTATAGTGCTCTATGTCCAGTGGACAGAGCCAGTAGTACACTACTTACACAGCGATCACACAACCAAGTCCTTTTCTGCCGTTACTCAGAGTTTCGTGTAAAAAAAACACTCATTAGACAGCTGTATAGTAGATGGAAACACACCTACCGAAAACAACAGAGAGATTGCCGAGAGTGCGAGTATCCGGTAACGCCAGATGTACGGTGCTCACCACTTTCTCACGGACCTCCACAATGTCGTACATCTACCCAGAGAGCACAGCATACAAATATACAGCTGCAGTTTGTGCGGTAAACACATGAGCTTACATATAGAACTCAGAGCAGCTAGCTGCAGTGAAAAACAAGACATGTATGTAGCAAATTGTACCCAGTACTTTCAGTCCATAGCTGCATGTATAAAGAGGAGAGACATCTACCTAACTAAAATGACACGTTACGAGCTGCAACAACACCGCAACATTCTGCCTTCGCTCTAGTTTGGTTTGTACAACCTGCCATCAAGGCTGTTTACTGAAAGCATGAACCAAATTGTCCAGAATCACAACTGACCATATCTTTCATCTCTTGATCAAGGTTAGCAAGTCGAAACTCTGAAGCAAGAAAGCACAGCAGCAATCCCAGCAGTGGTTTCAGCAAAGTCACAACTGAATCACTCCCAGACTACACTGAAAGTACATGTACTGCCGTCGAAAATCACAGAGAAAGCATCCTACTCAGATAAGATGCACAGCAGCAGCAGGGCGCACAACAAGCAGCCTGTTTGCAGCACAACACACGCCAGCGAACAGCTGCATTGACCCTTACCCATTCCTGTGTCAGCACGATTCAGACCGAGCACCAGGAATGTACCGTCTGGGTCAAGATTCCTCTTCTGCAAGGAACAAAAACAAGCCCAGATCCGTGTACGTTAGTCCAAAGCTTGATGGCATATCACATAGGTATTGTAATCGATTTTGACATCACCGACTACGAAATGGAGGGAAGACGGTGACGGTTGGACAGAAAATGTCAATCCCGATCTGCACCTCAGTCACATTGCCCAGCGTGAACGTGAAATTTGAACATACCTACATCAGCACTCCTAGCGCTACTCACGGCTTTGTGCTTGGTAGCACGGACCTTGCACAACCCATATCTACACCCAGGCCAAGTGGGCTGCGTCGTTCTGCAAACAACCCAGCAAGCGATGCTGAGCCGTATTGAGCACCCCCGGGACGGACAGGTACGTACAGAACCATATGCAGCAGTCCGTCAATGTCCCCCCCCCCCTTCCAAGGGACCTTCGCTATAGGCCAGCAATGCTCTTCCACTAAGCTCTGTCAGTGCTTTGTTTGCAATTTTCTGTTCACTCACGTCAAACAAACAAAGTTGAAAACAGGTCAATCAGTTCTCCTGCCTCCTGACTCTCAACCAGTACAAGTCTTACCTCACATGCCACATCCAGTACATCACCAGCTGTCATGCCGTCCTGTAATAGGATAACAGTACTCTGTGGGCAGAGAAGAGCAGGCCACGCAGATAGCTTACAACTCAACAACCACACAGGGAAAACAGGCACAGAGTGATTGGAAACACATTGGAAACAAGCACACACAAGTCAACTCACAGAGAGAGGGGGGGGGGGGGGGGGGGGGGTGGTGGCATGCTTACAGGAAGGTTCTCGCATAGAACCATAACACACAATGCACTCCATTTGGCAGAGTATAACCCCCCCCCCCCCCTTTCCACCCAAAATTGAAACAATTGAGTAGCATGCGAGCATTTCTCATCCTGAGTGCAGCAGTCATCCAGCATTTAGATGCTGCAGCATAGTGAGCACAGCACACCACATTGCAGGACATATGGCAATGATCACGGAGTCGCGATGCAACAAGCCCAGCATGCATGCATAACCCAGAGGCAATCTGTTTTCGCCAAAGCATTGGTGAACAAACCTGCTTGTCCGGCAGCTCAATTCTCAAATACTGCGGCTTGGCAGCAGCTGGAGCAGCACTCGTCTGCTCGACATTATTGGTTGCAGTTGCCGCTTGCTTTGGCGGCTGGGCAACATCTTTCCAAACCGGCTGACCAGGCGCAACTTCGGCGGTCGGTGAACTGTCAACGCTGTTGCCTGCTTCCGTGCCACACTCTCCTTCCTGCTTGGGTTCAGTTTGAAAACAAGAGCACAGGCAGAATACCAGCCAATACCAGCTGATCAGTACAAAGACAGACTACTTACATTATTGTGATGGTCCTCTTTGCTATCGAACTTCATTGACGAGACGTGCAACGGTCGAAACAGCTGTCGAGATGATTTCTATTATTTATTATCCGACAATACAGGTAGACTCCCTCTAATTCGAATACGGTATAATTCGAACATTCCGTGTAATTCGAACTTTTTCGTCGTACCGATCTTCTGCAAGTCACTTCAAGTCAAAATCGAATGCATAATTCGAAGTACGAAAAGTGCGCCGGTTGGATAATTCGAACCCAGTCTTCGTACAGAAGAGCTGTTTACAGTACATTGGCTATGTCCTTTGAACGCTTATTTCGAAGTGAGATTGAGTTGCTATCCTTGTAATTCGAAGTTCATTCTTTTCTCCTTCTCTAGCCAAGAGTAGCTCAAAAATCGATCGATGGTCCGCTGCAGGATCGACTATAGCGTTCAAGAAACCCACCTTCTCTCGAAATTTGATTCAAGCCCGTGCGAGGCAAATTGCAAAGGTTTGATTGAAGACGACTTCTTCCAGGTGGCTGACTCTCTTCGCAGATCTCGATGGCCTTTCTTACCGCGCCAGCTCGTGCGCGGAGATGTTGGCGCACAACAACACTATTGTCGTAAATATTGTCTATGCCTTTGCTCCACTTCCGTTCTTCAGAACGACGTGCTGCTGTCCAACGGCCTTTCATGACGCGGATTAGGCAGCGCAGTTCTTTTCCGTTGAAATTGTTTCAGGAAAGCTGCAGTGACTGACAACTTCTTCGCTAGAAGATGAAGATAATGTCACAATGATTTTGTGTCGATCCAGTGTTTTGATGATCCGTTGTACATGACCGCGTACCGGTACGACCACCTACATGTATGTTTCGTTGATGCAAATAAAAATGTGCAAAAAATATTCAGCATGCGATTTCAAGCATTTTGACATACATATCAGTGCATGGGGCCGCATTTGGATAATTAGAAGTTCCCGATAATTCGAAGTTAGGGCCTGGCAATTTGAGGTTCTAATTAAAGGGAGTCTACCTGTATATATTATCCGACAATACTGTTCCTTTCGTGTGGTTTTGTCAGAGAAGTGTGCATCGGTTGGCTTTGTTACTCAGAGCTTCTCCCAAACGTAGTCATGCAGACGGATGAGCTGGGTTAGCACTACTTTCATGAACTCATCATTAATGCTTGCCATGGAAGATCAGCAAGGCAATCCCGTGACAGGATCACAGAACTCTTCACTGATCAATATGGGTGAACTTACGTACACATGTCACATGCCAGAGCAGCTCAAGTACCGTAAGCACACAGGCTACAGTACACGTGACACCACTGCCTCTACTCTAGCAGCACTGACAGAAAACTCCAACACCCTCATACATGTACGGACAAATCAGATAGCTCGGTTCTCTCACCGTTGCTGTGGAAGACGACTCGGATGGTCTGTAGTGTACACACGCGTACGCGCGCACACACGCACACCGCAAACATGTGTACACACACGTACACGCACACATGCATGAGTAGGCAAAAAAGAACATCATGTATAGAAATGTATGCGCACGGCCCCTATCGTATAACATGGTCAGAGCAGAAGCCAGCACTGACCCGAATGAATATCTATCTCTGGGTAGGGTTGAACTGATATTGGTTGGTTTTCAAAATTCAACACAAGCATTTCTGAACGCCAGGGATAGAGATCACTCTGATTTCAATGGAGCTGTGTTCTAGTGGAAAGTACGACAAGTCCTGCTATCCCAAAGCTAGTGCTGGCTGTACTCTTATCAAGGACGATACCACCGTAACTCAGGCATTCTAATTAATCTTGGGGGACACGTGTCCCCATCATAACATTAAATGTCACAATGCAAGAGGGAAAGATGTGCACGGAATACACACAAAGAACTAAGGGGATCCATCACCTCCATGCGAATGATACAACACCAGGTTTTAATACAGAGGATGTGCACTGCCAACACCCAGTGAAGCTGCTTACCCTAAGTCAAGAGGAGCCAGAGCTTTGCGAGTAGCATGCATTGCTGATGTTTCCTGCACACGGCACAGCACAGCACGCAATGACAGAGTGGCATTGTAGTCAATAATTTTTCCAGATTTAGGCTCATAGTTCATTGCGATGAAGGTTGAGACGACATCACAACTCCAGAGTTTTGTGCCAGGTCAGTACTCACCAGGTGACTACAAATAATACAGAAAAATACCTCGACCACCAGACTGTCGGGTGCCCAAGAACAACAGTCTAGGATTTCACCAAGCACAGCATACCAATGTATACACGGTGACTCAACTGTGCATAGACTGTTGTGCATGAAAATAAGAACGGCCTAGGCTAGGAAGCTGACCCCAGTTCTTCGGAACCCGACAGTACAGTACAGTATTCTATTTATATTTTATACAGTAAAGTGCTCCTGTACGGCACAAGGCCTGAGAATGAACAGGCAGGTGAGAACTGGGGGATGTGGATTGGTGCTAGCTTGTGAATGCATGCGCTGGCCTGCTACGTATGGCGATGCTCAAAACTGCTAAAAACTGGTGCAAAAGGAGGACAATGGAGGGGCACGTCCAATGTCTTAAGTCACAAGGCATACAGTGTCATCAGTGTGGCAAAGAGTGGTAATATATCCACTAAAACCCATCCAAAGCGTGCCCGGTAGACCAAAGTGCTCGTCATTTTGGTGGCCAGATAACTGAGATACGGATTGACCAATAGACAAAAAGATGCCAACTGTGACATCTCCATTTCATAAAACTCAGCTAAGCAGATAAGTCTGGTACTTGCCAGGGCCGGCGCAATTAAACAGGACCAAAACAATTCAATCAAAAACACCAGCAACACATCACAGTGCTTCATCCCTTACCTGAGCATTCTCAACTGATCCAGATGCAGAGCCCTTGTTGGAATTCTCATTCTTTTTCATTGGCACTATGTCAGGCTCGGGGCCAGTCTTCTACACCAAGGAACACACGCATACACACACAGCACAGCACCACACAGTACAGCACACCCACATGTAAAGCAATAATTCTGTATAAGAAGAAAAGAGGACCAAAGAGCTACAATAATTCTTTGTGATAGTTTTAATTTTCGCGTTACACATAAAATCGGGAAAAAATGCAGGCACGAAACCAAAATTTGTGATTTGGCCGGAAGTGCAGCAAGCGCGGTGCACGCCTTTCGTAGTCTTGAATTGTGTACAGTACATGTATGGAGCTACGGTAGATCAAAGAGACGTGCATGTACGTGTAGTCATTGTAGATCAACACAGAATGTAGCAAAATCCAAGCACCACAAGGCTACGCACTGTGAAACTGTTGTGGATTCGGCAAGTTCGTTGAACTTGAAGTTATTTTTAAAGAACCCCGAAGACATCTTTAGATTGCCTGTTGCTTTCTTTAGTTAGAAGCTATTTATTGTCTCTGTTGCCAAAATGTCGCTGCTTCAGTGGGTCCAGAAGAACAAGGACAAAAACGCTGACACCGTTTCTCAGCCGTCGTTTCTGCCAGCGCCAGCGACTGCTGCCGCAGCTGCTGCGAACAAAGCCGTGGAATTCCCTCCGTGCGGATATCCGAGGCGTCACCAAACTGGCCGCCTTCAAGTCAAGCGCTTTGCAACACATTCTTGCCTGCTTTTAGCTTCACGCCCATGTTTCTGTAGCTGTGCTGGAACTGCTCTATTTCGCCGCCACTATTTACCATTAGCCATGTCTCCCCCCCCCCCCCCCCCCCCCCTCTCCTCCACCCTACACAGTGGGTCCATTGTTATTACGCATCTGCCTGTTTTGGTTTCTCCACTATAAATAAAAGAATACTAAGGCAAGACTGCTGGACGCCATGCCAAGGTCTAGTTCCCCAGTGACTACTGGAATGCAATGCATCTATACGATCACTGGAGAAACCAGGTCAATTCCGGACCGCTCTTTTATCCCACCTGAAAATTCACTGACTAACGTTGCTCACTGATCAAATAATTATGTAATCTTTCCTCTGCAGTCTTAAACCCTACTCTATTTTTTCTTTCTTTTTTCTTTTCCTTTTCCTTATATTTGTGTGCCTGTAGTTGATCTCATGTAATAAGGCAACACTGCCTGTTCGTTCTTTGACATTAAATAAACCAATCCAAACCAAACCAATGCATAGCCCAAGTCACTGGAGCACCGAGCAGACAATGCTAGAGTTCATCGACAGAATCATTATTCTCTACGCGACGTCAGTTCGTGAGGACCCGAAGCTCGTTCCTGACCAGCCAGCTCTGGCTATTTGTGATGTATATGCCGCCCATCGCTGGGAGTCCGTTCTGAAGAAACTGACGCGCAACCACATCCACCAGGTTTCCATCCCAGCTGGATGCAATGGCAAGCTGCAACCCCTTGACTTGTCAGGCAATGACCTGTTCAAGTCAAAGATGAAGGAGCAGTTCTCTAACTGGTATGCAGATTGTGTGAAGGCCGCATTGGACTGTAGTGAGTCCCGTGATGATGTGAATTGACTTGAAAGCCTCCACCGTCAAGCCACGCCATGCTAACTGGCTGATCTCAATGGTGCCGTCATTGAGCTCCATGGCGTGTCTGAAAGATGGCTACCGCACGGCTGGAATTCTGGCATGCATCATGCCTTCAGAAACAGCCATCTGCTGCTTTCGCTCTGGTGCTGTCGTAGCTATTTCGCCTGTAGCGAACTTACTTTTCTTCGAATCTTTTTTAAAATCACACAAGACGCCTGCTGATGCTCCGTTACCTTCATTGCCTTCTTTTTTTCTGTACTAGTGTCCAATTTGCTCTTTTCATTCCCTTCTTCAAATTCGATTCAAAACATTTGGTGCACTGTTTTCGCTGTTGTTATTCATCCAACTTACCCCTACCTACTTCGAAGTATGATAGTATAGTATTGCCGCTACAGTGTCTCTAGCGCAAAATTTTACAACCAGTAGTTTTCTGGGTGAATCGCAAAAATTAATCTTTGCAAAACGGTCTAAACTCTCAATTCACAAACAATAAACGCCGCAAAAATGTATCACTTTACAGCATATGCTACGGCTGCATGGTGTTTAGATGAATATGGTCACAATGTGGGTCAAAATCATCTCTTGATGTCGCGCCACAGCTCAACAGACCTGCCCATAGGTCCCACAACCACTCTGTGACAGCAATGCACCACATGTCTACGTACTTTTGCATGCTTGAGTGACGCTGGACGTTGATTGCTTGTCTTGGCAGCTCGCCGTGCAATCACCTGAAACAGACAAAAAGCCAAGAAAACCGGCATAAGCACTCAACAACGTACTAGGAAGCCTACGCTTGGGAGCACAGCCTCTTGCAAAGTCCTGACCTGGTATTGCTAGGCGGACGGGACGGCTTTCACAACAACAGAGAACACGAAGAATAAGTAAACCGGAAAGGTTCCAGGCTGTCCAAAAGAGAGCTCAATGCCTGCGGGCAGCGCTCCGAGTCACAACAAATTATTCATCATCTTCTACCTGAATAGTGCGAGCTCCAGTGTGGGAACAAACCCATTCTCTTCTACTTGCTGTAAAGAACAAGTAAGCAATTCTGATCAGTCACCACCACTACAGAGTGCAGAGTTTTGAATACAATTTGCAGCGTCAACGACCTTTGTGTAGTGGTGATGACTGATAGTAATATGAATTGGCTGCAGTGGAGCCTCCGTGTTCTAGAACAAGTAAGCACACCATATAAACGCAATAGAAATTCCAAACATTACGGATACTCCAAGTGAAGGGCATAACGGAGTAGGACACCGGGGGCATTGCTTGCATGCCGATCTGAGAGGCAGATCACATCCCCGTGTTTTAAAAGCTCTCACCAGGCAATGTAGGGCCGACACAGAGAAGGTTGCAACTTGTCCACGCAAGGATGACTTGGTGGCCTTCGTTGCACATGCTAGCAGGTTCTACAGTACCAATAGCGAAAGGAGAGCAAACAAAGTCAACTACACAAGTCAGCTGTTGCATGGCGAAGTGCAACGTATGGAGAAGTTGCAAGTTTCAATAAACCTGATTGCTCACACATCATGTTATTACAGACTCCGCCATACCAGAGGGACCCACCACCCTCATATGCACATGTACACGCACACACAATCCATGGATAGCCACGTACCTGCGGGTTGGGCAACTCCGAGCCTTTCAGTGCTGCAATATAGCACTTCCACCTACAGCAAACACACACACACACACACACACACACACACACACACACAAACGCACACACACAACATACAACTATTCACCAGACTCAGGCCAAGTGAACCCACCCAATTTACCTAGAAAACACGGCTGTACATATCCAGCGGTTTCATAGATGGTGGAATGCACAGCACCCACATTTGACCAAAATGAGAACTTCTTGCAAACACAAAGCTTGTCAAACAAACATCAGCTACGACTACATACTTGAAAAGATCCATGTTGAACGCCTCCAGTTCTTCACTCCAGGAACTGATCTATGCACACAAACACAACCAACCAAACCACTCTACAGCTTCTAGCCAAATACAAGTTGGTCATGTTGAGTGAGTGGTTGTGTTAGCTGCTGGCTGAGTGTGCAATTCCTGGTCAGTCCCAGTCTAGAAGCCCGATCGGCAAAGTCCTGCGTCGTAGGAACGTAGAAGTAATGTAGGAATTTCGCCGAGTGCTGAGTGAATGCTAGTTGCACGCTCTTGTTGGAGGAGGGGGGCTATGGACCCTTGCCATTGGTTAATCTGAACACACCTTTAGCCAGTTATGATTTGAGGAACGAAAACGAATGTCCTTCCTTCCCGGGAATCGACCCAGGTCACCTTGAGATGATTTGAGGAATTAAAAAAAAGAAATGTCCTCCCCGGCCGGGAATCGAACCCGGGTCTTCCGCGTGACAGGCGGAGATACTTACCACTATACTACCGAGGATTGACTGGTAATCTTTGTCCTACTACCACATTTCACCCTGCCTGCATGCAATGCAATGCACATGGAAATCAGCGGAATTCAACCCACCGCGGAAACATGCTGATTTACAAATCCGCATGCACGCCACGGAGGATGCACAGAACACAGACATGTACCTGTTCAGAAATCTTCGACTTGACTTTGCCGGTGGCGGTTTTCTGCTGCAGCACAGCCATCTGCTTCATTTGACTTTGCTGCAGTGTGAGAGAACAGGAAGAACAATACCGCGCTTAGGACAATCAGGCACCTGCTGCTGCTGCTACATTACTGGTCTAGGACAATGAACACATCCGATGGTTGAAGTTCCTGTCTACCTTACTGTGTGTGTATGCGAGAACAGGGCGTGCACTACGCAGCACTGCTACATCTGATATGTACGCTTGGACACTGGCTGATACGTATGCTGGGACACTGGCTGATATGAATGCTGGGGCACTCGTCGATACCAATGCTGAGATACTGGCGGACTTGTATGTTGGGACACTGGCTGTGGCAGCTACACAGGATACACTCAGGGGCTCAACTCACCGTGTCAATTTCCTCCTGGATCTGAGTGCAGCGACTCTGCAAGCAAGTGGCACGCGCACAAAAGAAAACCAAACGACATGAACAAGTGGATTGGGTTGTTCACCTATCCATACCACTAAACATGAACAAAGACAGTATTGTCGGACTGCAATACAATGGGTATATACTATGCAGACAGAATCCGATTGGTGCAGCATGTACACTCTCTGCATGGTCATAAACATCAGGAATCGTGTAACTCAAGTACACGTGCATTGCAGGGATGCAGAATTAGCAGAACGCTAGCCATTCACTAGTCTGAGAATGCAGTGCGATTGCATTGTTCCGGCAATCCGTGCAACAAACAAACTAACATATTGTACATCAGGACTGTGTGTGTTCTTCACAGTACCTGGAAATCCTGAATAGCATCAGCTTTTGTCGAGGCAGATGTTGCTGCAAGTGCAGCAGCTGATCAGGCAGCATAGTCAAGAAACACATGTCACAGAAAAGGCAAAGGATTATTTCAAATATGGTTGAATATCACAGCTTAGCCAATGGGCACACTACCGGTTCGTGAAATCCAAAATGCAAATCCTTGTTGTAAAAAGCTTGAATTTCGTTGTACTTGAAAGTATTTCTGGCTATTACCAGAAGGAGTTGTCAACATGAACAGTAAGGAAGTTACTATCATTCTGCTGCTAACTAGTCAGCCACAACCTCGCTTTGCAGAACTACATGCAAGCACTAGAGCGAATTAATAACAGCCTAGATGCGATTAAAACACAAACACACACACACACACACACACACACACACACACACACACACACACACACACGCGCGCAGTCACACACACACGCACACACACACACACACACACACACACACACACACACACACACACACAGTCACACACACGCACACGCACACACACACACACCACTTTCTTACCTAGGTGTATGGAACCGACCCATGCACTGGCATCAGTCTGACTACTGGCCTAGTATGCAAACAAACATCAAACAAACATCAAACAAACATCAAACAAATATCAAACAAACATCAAACAAACACATGCCCAACACATGCACAACACACACACACACACACACACACACACACACACACACACACACACACACACACACATACACACACACACACACACACACACACACACAGTGGTGGACGATGCTTACAGAAAGATACAGAAAGGCACAGGCGGGTAGCTGAAAGCCAAGCTAGTCTGCGGTCGGGAGATGAAGGCGATGACAGCGACTGAAGCACTCCGCCGCTCACAACCCTTGCTACTACGTGTGCTGTAAAAGCCTTATAATTAATTTCACGGTTCGCGTGAGACTCGGCTGGAAGCCGGGCTTTCCGCATCCGTAGGAACGCCACCACCCTTCAAGGATCAAGGCGCAGATACAGCTCCTAAAGCGGTGGGAGGTGAGTAGATGAGCTCACCAGCAAGTGGTCAAAGACCGAAAATCCCATTCACTGCATCCATGAACAAACCTTATAACAAAGGGCTAAATCTAACGAGATACTATGCGTCATACCTGCATGTAGTGAGTGTGGCCTTCGCTGCTGCTCAAACTGGTCACATAGTCACGGTATACATACTCATGAACCAGCTGTGCAATACCATTGCACACATCTGAACAGACACAGGGAATGAATGACACACAAAAGAAATTCACCATTCCTCCACGCTCGCAATGATCTTCAACCCTGTTCTTCCCCTGGATTCACCCATGGCTTGTTGGTCTAGGGGTATGATTCTCGCTTCGGATGCGAGAGGTCCCGGGTTCAAATCCCGGATAAGCCCAATATTTTTCTTTCTCCTTTTTCCAACATTGAAAACAAAGAGAACAAAGCGATATCAAGAGTGCATACACAAGAGTATGTTACTGTGGTTAGGGGTTCGTAACTTGCCTCCATCACGCTCTGAAAGCATGCACTCAAACCCATAATTTCTCGTACAAGCACATCCGTTTTTGCTCGATTCGCTCCAGTACCTACGCGATCTCTAAAAATGTTGGCGCATGACCCCAGTTCCGTACGAAAGTTCATTTCAAACCAGAGGGAAAGTGCGGTGTTTGATTTTCCGCAGTGCGCAGGCTGCAGCGAAATGATGTAATGAAGGCAGCGCGCCACACATTTGGCCTACAGAAAAGAGATCACAGTTGCATACTCTTGTTTTTGGACTCTTGGCGATATCAATTAGGCTTCCGCGGAATGTGCCGGCATAATTTGGGAATTATCGGCGTCATTTTTCAAAAGGGAATACTTAAATTTAATTGGCAATTTTGGTGTAATACCGTATATTCTCTATTATAAGCACAGGTCTCCATTACTAGCACAGTCTCTAATACTAGCACACTGTGAGCACCTTTCAAAACATTATAAGCACAGTCTCTATTATTAGCAGGGTCTTAGTGGAATCAATGCTGCACGCACGATATCTAGCATGTATTTCTTCTTGCTCTGTACGGATGTATTGGTTGAAAAAATATAAGCACGGTCTCCAATGTAAGCACGGGATAGAGGGGTGTAAATATAAGCACAGCGCTTATAATAGAGAATATACGGTAATCGGGAAAACTTGAGCAATGCCACCCCCCCCCCCCCCCCCCCCTCCTGACCTCGTGGTGGTTGTGAGTCTTGTGACTCTTTTGACTCGAGTCTCTTCACTTTTTATTTCTAATTTTGTTGGCCATGGTCCACTCATGGAGTTAAAACTTAAAAGACCCCTCCAACAAGAACGAGTGTCCAGAAGCGATTGAGTCGAGCGGGAGGATGACTTTTGTATTACGCCGAGCGAGGGCCTGATGATATCACACATGCTTAGCATGCCTGACAGGATGCACCAGCGCACATACATTCGTTGCAGAAGCGCAGAGGTGCCAATTCTTCCGGCCCCAAGAACGTGTCACCATCACAAAGAGCAGGGACTAATTTACTTCAAAAAAATTGCATAGCAATAATTGCTACACACCTCGATGTTTGCATAGCAACGCAACAATTTTGCATAGCAGTTTTTTTCCGTCGACAATGCAGTCTTCAGTGCACTTCCACTTATACCGTCAACAAACGCCATGCTGCCTCAAACCACGAAGCGAGGACGCCTTCTCCCTGCACATCTTGCAAAATATCTTGGTCACAGCTCCACCACTCGACTCTGCGCGAATCCATTCTTTTTTGGGATCAAATTCAGCAATCCACTTGTCCACAGTACCTTGCTTCACAGACATGCCGGCAGTGAAGAGGCTTCATCAATAAGGCTAGCAGAATTTTACAAAGATAAGTTCTGAACGGTCGAGACGCCTACTGCTAGGGAAGCAACGCGGTCTAAATCTCAAAAGCAGGTGAAGTACTTGTCGACACTCGCCTCGTGCTTCCTGGGCTGCACTTCAAGTAAGTATTAGTTAGTTAGTTTCCAAGTGCACGTGCTGCGGTGCGCGTGCGGAGATAGTGCGACATATGGCCATGGTCCCGCGGCCCGCGCGTGCGTATGGTGTAAAATCTACCTGCAGTGCAGGGTGCAGGCTGGACAACCACACACACACAGTCTAATCTAGTCACAGTGCATGGCGCGCCATCTCGTGGCGTCAAACCAGCCACACACACTGTAAAGCTACACATGTGCATGCGCTACGCGTGCACTACAAGTCTATGTCCAGGGCCATACTTAGCTGTATGTTGTGTCGCAGTTTACCGCGACTCACTACGAACTTCGAATCGCAGACACTGTGTTTTGCGTCGCAAATTGCGATGCGATACCGGTTAAATTAGTCCCTGAAGAGTGAAAGAGTTTTCGTCTGAGCACTCTTCGGTCGCCCATGGTGCCTTGTTCTGTAACTGCTGTCGTGATTTGGATCCTGTTGAGAAGAAACAAAAACTTTCCAGATGAAGAAACGTTGGTAATTATTGTCTTTCATGTCAGTTGGTTCGGGACTCGCAATCATGTCGCGAGTCACGACAAGGAAGTTGGCCTGAAGAGACGCATTGTAGCAAGCCACATTAAAACTGCGAAGGATGCAATGGTAAAAGCAGACTTGCTCAAGAAAAAGGCGAGGGAGATGGACATAGCCAAGAAGTTGCCATGTCTAGTACAGTGTGTTGACTACACACAACGCTGGCTAAGTAGCACAGATTCACCTTGAGATAATTTATTGCTAAGAACCTGAAGTCCTATAATGCTGAGAAGCATTTGAGTGGTGAAACCCTGTCGCAGGCACAGCAAGTTCATTACATGAAGGTCGTCAGATCCTTCCTTGCAGCAGGGGTACCACTGACCAAAGTGCAGCACTTCTTACCTCTTCTGAAAGAAAATGCATACCGCCTCACGGATCACCATTGCCTGTGTGACCTCAAGCCACTTAGGCAACTCTCTTGATGTCTGGCATTGGCACAAACTACGTTTTCCGAGTGTCGGGGATCCCTTCAGCAGATCATGTCACTAACAACTCACTATCTCCCGAGCCTCGACATTCGACGCACCGTAGCAGGACTCTGTTTCCTGTACAAGCTACACTGTGTGGATGGTCCGGAAATGCTGAAAGCCATTCTGCCACCATCAGCAGCCGCACTGCAATGCTGCATGTCTACTCATGAAACAACCAGATCTGTAGCACATCATCTGTCACAACTTGCCAGTGTCCTTCCTCCTCAGTCACGAAACAACACACTGCGCTCATTTCCCCATTCTCTCATCGCAACGTGGAATCAGCTCCCACCTACCCTTCTGCAGTCTACCCCTTCTCGCAGAGGTAAGCACACCTTCAAGAAGAATGTCAACGACCACAGTGGGCGTGGGCCACAGACAGGTTATGATCTTTCCATCCCAGCCAACACACCAGCATAATATGCTGACCGCACTCCAGCCCCCTTCTACCCCTCTCTGATCCCCTTCACTCAGCCTTAGACCTTGTCTCTCCCAGTCATCGTACCGTATGCAATTATCAGTTCTCTCCATCTTCCTATTTCCACGGTGCTCTACTTTGCTATTGTTATGTCCTATCTCAATCTCCAATTCTCTCCATTATCGTTTTCAAAGGTGCTTTCCTATTGGACGCACATGTTCATTTCTCCTTCTCAACGGCGCACATGAGTAACGATGAATCCGAGACCCTTGGTCGGAGGAGTTACTTCTGCCCCGCCCCCGCTTCCATCCAATATGCCACCACCCCCGCTGTGCAGCATCTGATGGCTCTGTGGTATTAAGTTTAAAAAAAACTATACGAACAAACCAAGAAAGTAAGTTGCAATCATCACCACTTGCCGCTATTGCCATAAATACTATCACTCGCCTCATGTAAATACATTGTACTGCGCTGTACCACGTGTATTGTGTATGTACCATCATTATGTAACTTGTGCCCAAACAACAGCCTACATTTGCTATTAAAATGGTTTGTAACGTGTTTTTTGAGGATGCAGGGCTTCCTATTTGCATCGCCGAGCACGTTCATCATTTCTCGATCAATGCCGCTTGCATGATTTGTAGGCTGGCTGCATCAATAATAGTGTGTTCTGCGTCGTTTGCAGGTATGCTTGGTAAAATATTATTTTTTCCTTGTTAATAATAACGACCTACTTCTTGCGTAGGGATGAATAATTATCCTATCCACGAGGGGAATTAACCGTATTGCGTGACTGATCCTTTCAATGTTCTAATCTTTCAAGTGACTTTTCCTTTTCTACCTGGACTCCTCCTTGGTTTCCCTTTTCTCTCTAGCTCTTCTCTTGCACCTTCTTGCTATTATTCACTTAAATGTGGGGCTTTGAATAAAACAAGTCAAGACATTTATTTGTCTTGCGGCGATAATAGAGAGGTTCCGCATAACGTAATTACGTGAGTAAAAAACGTAGTCGATCTACGGAAAGTGTTACGTAAACTGCATGCGCATCTGGGTTCCGCCATACGGAGTTTTCAAATCACGTAGCTGCCCTTGGCAACTCCGAACGCGGTAGTGTACGACCAGATCGACATGGGGAGAGAGTCATAAATTTGTACCCCAATCCACTTACGGACCAGCTACGTTATCAGAGCCCTATCTACGTACTCTCCGTAGACAACTTTCCGTAAGTGGAGTGCAAACTCGCGAATTCACGGGTTTTTCCCGCCCACTAACGTAAAGTTGCTCAACTTTACGTAGTGCGGAACCTCTCTAATAATAATAATAGTAGTTTTAGGTACTGTGCCACACAGATCTTGACCTACATGTACATTTATAAAAGACCTGAACCCAAGTACAAAAGCAGTTCTCCGCCACGATTTCAGTGCCAGCGTTACCAAGATCATAATTTTCGAACTCAGTGCAAATTCCTCTACAGACAACAGAAGGATTTAGGAAAAAAAATTGGGCTTGTCCGGGATTTGAACCCGGGACCTCTCGCATCCGAAGCGAGAATCATACCCCTAGACCAACAAGCCAACATGTCAAACACATGAGAATGGCTTGGTTCACTGTATGTGCACGGAAAACGGAAACCTGAATAGGCCCTGCGTGTTCAACTGCCAGTTGTGTGGAAGCCCATATTCGGGAAATTCTGACATACCAACAGTTAGCGCCGACTGATGAATGAGATGAGGTCTATCTAGTGCAAGTACAGAAGGACCTCTGGGAAGAAACATGAAGATTAGTGATAAACCAGCAGTGACATGATGCATATTTAAATGTAGAATTACGTAAAACACTCCCAAAAGAAAAAACCCTCACATGGCACATTACTACAATCCCCTACCAGTTGTCAGGACAACGGGAGCGCTCTCGTCAGCCTCGGCATCCTCACCACTGCTCTGATACAGTGTGAGAGTTGTGCCATGCAACACACCTGAGCAGTAGCAGTAGCAGACACAACACAAACACAACTGTACATACACACCAACACAAGGTACCTTATGCAACGGGCAACACGCACACACACACACACACACACATGTACAAGCCATAATCAAATAATGTGAGTACTGCCAGTCCTGGCTGCATGCATCACTATGCCACACGCTTGGCATGCAGTGAATCTAAGTCTGAAAGCAATGTCATCACACACTCCAGCGTAAGCCAGTAAAGTGAACACGAGTGGCAGCACTGCACAATCATGACGCAACGCTAAGTGACAGCAATGCATGCACATCGCTCACCCCAGCAGCTCTTCCATTTACGACGCGACCCAGAAGTCAGCCGTCCGTGCTTGTGGAAAATGACATTCTTCAGCACTAGGTACCTGCACATAGCAACAGCAACAGAATAAGTTGACAGCCTTGACCATGCAGTCACATGCAGGTTGCTTCCCAACGAACAGCAAATGGCACAATACAATTTGCTGTGAGAACAGCACACAAAGAAGCCTCACCCTGAATAGCGAACAGAACCAGGAAGCATTTCTGATGACACCCTGCGCGCACAAAACAGTCCACACCACACAGCAAAGCGTTAAAAAAGAAAGAAAGAAAACCCAGGCACACACCCTCAGTGTCGTAATGTTCAGCATAACATAGCGACTTATGCCAGTACGAGAGCAGCACATGACTGCATGTCTGTGTGTATAATAGCCTACCCCCCCCCCCCCCCACACACACACAACGTCAATCAGCTCAAACAATTACAACCACCAGGTGTCAACCTGCAAACAATGCCAACGTTAATACTCAACAACACGGGTGCTACCTTTTTAACAATGCATCGACATGATAAGACTAAGTGTGTCTACCAGAGGAAATGAGCCTTACTCGGATTGACTCACAACAAGAACAAAAAAACATCCATTACAACAGCCTGAATGCAAAGGAGGGTAGGAGGGATGGATGTGGAGGAGGAACAGGAGGAGGAACAGGAGCAGGAAAAGAGCCTTACTGGTTGCCATCAGTCACAACGGGTTGCTCGGGTTTAACTGCCGAAACAGGATAGGTCGTAGTAGCTGTGTCATCACTCTGAAAGTACATACACAAGTTGACAGCACCAGTAACACGTAGATATCACACAACATTGTTAATTTAAGGTGCATTCTCGTTGCACAGCAGGCAGATTTACCGTACAGTCAAACCTTTTCAGGACAAACAATAAGGGACCGATGGAATTCGTTCGTACCAACAAGGATTCGACTTGTCTTATTAGTACAGCCATATACACACAGTGAATAGATGACAACAAAAGAAACTTCACAAAAAGTAGTTCCTTACTTCAATGGTGTCGTTACCACTCTCAACAGGTGCCTCCTCCGCGGCGGGCATGGCACTTGCAGCCAACCTAGCTCTTTCTATCTGCTCCTTTGTTTGGACAACACCACGAGAGCTGACGTCAAACTGAACAAAACCAAACAAAGTACCAAACAGAAGGACATCCTGATAAATTGTCCACTCAAACTGTTCTTAGAATGCTGTTTGGTAAAACCACACGCGAGAATACCCTCACAGCAGCGCTAAAACAAAGAATTTTAACCATCTGAAACCCACCAGGTCTAGCATTATTACGAACCTTTGAGTTTAAAATTCCTATTCAAATAATCTTGAAGAACTGCTAGGTCAAATAAATTTCGTGCAATCGAATATCCGCTACATCCCTAATTTTCAACCCACGTGGAAATCCTGCATTGGCAGAACTTACTCTTGCTTTTAGTGAGCTGACAAGACCCGACGGTGGCAGCTCACTGCCTGTGGCCTCCGCTGTATTGCTGCTACTAGCATCTTGAGACGGCGATGCAGCTGCATCTTGCATAGCTGGTGCTGGAATGATGCGGTCTAAATTCTCTGTGGAGTGTCGCACAACAGAACAATACAGTCGTTTTCAGATAGCTGGTCACCACTCCCGAGTTCATACACCATCCAGTCTGCTAGTTTTAGTCACATGAGACAAAAACAATGACCTACCAACTTGTATTAGCTCTGTTCACACATGTACACGTACAATCTTGACCATACAGGCAACTCTAAGAAAGAGGGCTAATGATGCCAGCACGTTACAGGTACATGTATATCATGTTTGAAGGTACACACACATGTATGCACAAACACACACACACACACACACACACACACACACACACACACGCATGTATGCACAAACACAAACAAAGCGACGCCTACCAGCATACGTAAGTACAAGTACATGTACAAGTTCTCGAGTGCATGCACTGCCGTGCCTTGATCAGACTGCGACACAGCGTACACCCCGTATCGCCGACACAAACCAGGACTAACCTCTGGAGCGCACAGGTACAATGCCAGGGCTGTACATGCTGGCACGTAAATCCTCGTGTGCGTCGCTCGACATTGGCGTGGATATCTGCACTGTAATGCTGCTTTCTGTCGCCGCCGCGCTGTCACCATCTTGATTGGCGACGGTAGCATGATGTAATGGTGAGAGAGCGTGTGAACCCAGCCCACTGTCCACCCAGTCCGGTGGCGAGATGGGAGTAGGACTCACCAGGTCGTCCTCGCCTCGCCTATACTCGGCGGGTTCACTGAGATTCTCCGTAGAGTGCAAAAACCCAACAGGCGGTGTCAGCAGTGATGTTGGGCCTTCGCCATCATAAGTACTGCTCGTTGTATCTGCTGGCGTAGGTGACGATAAGTCGATCTCCCTTCCAGGGGTCTTATTGACAATAGTGATTGGGAATTGCGAGAGAATGTCATCGGTCAGATTCAACGACAAGTGTTCAAGATCACTATCTCTATTGAGCAGCGCACTGTCGGTGGGCGAACGCATTGCATCGCCTGCTGCTGCACCACGCACAGTGACTGCAGCCAAATCACCACCATGCTGGCCTGCTGTGGGAATCTGCTCTGCAGCAGTGTCAGCAGGCTGGGCAGATCCGTGCTCACCGACGTTGGGCTCCACATCATCGATGTACGTGCACTCCGGTTCCTCACCTTCATCGCTCTCACCAGCATGCTGATCAGATGAACCATCGCCATCATCCACAGCAGCCTCGATGCGAGTACCACCATCCTCCTGGGGGCTCTCTACATGCGACGGCAAACGTGTCACTTCCGGTGCAGCATTCTGAGCAGTCTCGCTGGCAATGCCGTGAAACGTCTCCTCATCAATACTACTCTCAACAACACTAGCCGGTCTGCCAACATTGCCACGGGAGCGCCGTTCCTGCTTGCGGCACAACAGAAACAGACACAGACACACAGACAGCAAACATGATCACATTGCCAGCACTGCAGCGTGTGCTTCAAACACTGCCGACTGCACTTACATCCGAGCCCACTGCTACAGTAACAAACTCACACGGCTACGCCTTGTCAAGACATGTAATGCACACCAGCGGCTACAAGCCGATATTTGGTCTGCTGAGAATCTTGAGCCACCAGCCAGCAACAAAGGCCGAAGCAGTCATAAGTGGATACAGTTCGACATGAAAGTGGATGCAGGTAATCTTGATGTGCCTCACCTTCTCTGACATTGCTGGCCCGCCAAGTGCATCAGCAAGTGCCCGTGTAGAGGTTGTGTGTGCAATCTGCCCGGTAGTCAGTCCACTCTATACACAGATACAATGGACAGTGCACAGGTAGCAGCTAATCAACACAGCTGTACTCACATACTAGCTTACACTGACATCCTCATTGCAATCAACACCAAAAAAGAACAACATTAGAGGGAAAGTCAGATTCTACATAACAGCAACACTTGCACAGTGGAAGGAGGATCCGGGATGTCTCACAGTGAAACGAGAAGTGTGTGCGTGTGTGTGTGTGTGCATGTGTGTGTGTGTGTGTGTGTGTGTGTGTGTGTGTGTGTGTGTGTGTGTGTGTGTGTGTGTGTGCGCGTGCAAAGTGTACACTATTGGTCAGTGAATACACCACAAAAACCTGATCAACCTCACACTGCATTGTACAGAGCCATTATATGTACAATTATCCTAACTACAGAGCTGTCAGTGAGGCCCATCATGCGGGCACCCTGTTAGACAACTATAGCCGATTGGGACCCCAAGTAAATGAAAATAGCAACAACAAAACTACTTGTAGTATGTGATCACGTTAAACTCACCAGGCAAACTTTGAGGAAGCTCTCCATATCCGTTGACAGCATGAATTTCAGACCCCATACAGTGCCTGCATTGATTTCAGAGTCAACACAGTCAATGTTATTTCAAAATCCTTGATTGCTATTTCCACATACTTGAAACAGTGCAATGGGCACCACCCAAAGTGACATTCCAAATGCATGGTCATTCCTGAAATAGCACCTCCACACACCTTTCTCTGTTTCCTTCCATTGCAAGAAGCAATCAGATGTCTTGCTCATCGGGGTACCTGGCAGAGTTAGCATGACAAGCCAAATCACACACAAGACATGTCCGGTATCCTCACCCATGCTGTACATACTGGTCAGCCAATCACACACCCAGAATACCAGCAAGTTCTTTAGACACTGAAACGTATCTCCCTACTATACCCAAACATGTTCAGTCAGGACTAGCATCCTCATAAACATGCTAACCTGCTGCAGGCAGGCAGTGACAGGTCAGAATCACGTGAAAACAGGAATGAAACAGAGGAGAAGAGAGATAGACATAGAGAGATAGAGATAGATAGATAGATAGAGAGAGAGAGAGAGAGGAGAGGGAGAGGGAGAGGGAGAGGGAGAGGGAGAGGGAGAGGGAGAGACAGAAAGAGTACTCCTAAAAGGGCTAAAAAAACTACAAGTATTGGCAAGATAACGCCTAAACTTGCACCATACCAGGAAATGCCAGAAACTCGTCAAAGGTCTTGCTGGAATTTTCAACATCAGCACGGACATGAAAGACACTTCTCTCAGCAAACTGTAGTGGAAACCAAGACAAATTCAAACAGCATACATCGCCACTCAGTTCTGAATCAAAGCAAGGTTGCATGGTAAGGCCACATCTTCAAGGACAGGCAAAACATTAACGTGATCCACACTGTGCCATTGGCTAGCAGGAAAGGAAATGAGAATGCTGCATCACAGTGGAATATTCAAGCGCTACTCCATTGATATGAAGGGCCTTCATTCGTCACCATAATGCATATCCCTGTCACGACCGTCTTAACTAAAAAGTACCCGCTGGATACGCACAATCAAACTACCGAAAACCTTTTAGCATAGGAATGTCTAGAGTGCAACCAAAATACACCTAACAGTCTGCACATGGAAAAAGTCGAACGGAACACACAGCAGGACATGAATCCCTTACCCGTCGGTGGTTGTCCTCGTCCTCATACAGAACGATTGGCACCCGTTCAGGAAAGAACAATGTCCAGGTGACAGAGCCATCGTGAGCCAGTGTCAGCTGAAGGATTTCAGCTTCCAGCCTGCAGCCATCACACAACATCCACCACAATTTGAGACACAAGCACAACAGTAATTGATGCACATTGGACACATGATGAAGTATACGGTACCTGCATGGTGCCACCTTGCAGGACCGGCGGAAAAGAAGTTTTTGTTTGGTCCGACCATACCACGGTCTTTCATACAGTTTGTCTCTGCCAGCGCAGGTACACATGACCTCCTCAGCAGTAAAGACGTGTTGTGTTGGTTGCCAAAAAGTTACCAACGGGACCGGTTCCGACAGGCCTGCCTTGGTCTGGTCTCTGCAGTGCAGATCGCAAGCCTAGTCCACCATTGCAACATACAGGCACTGGTTTGTTTGTATGCGAAGGCTAGCAAGTGGAAACGTCTAGTCATAAGCCGAGTTGAGAGTTTGCTGGGTATTCGGCATTAGGTCCATCTGACTTCCAGTAGCAAGCAGCTTTTGTTGGTGGTATTCAAGCCACTACACGAAAACCATGTCCTCGGTGTGAACCAGCCCTGCTGTGGCAAACCCTTGTGCAGGCGCTACAGAGGACTTTTCAAAAACCAGTTCTCGTGGGGCCGCTGAATCGAATCGTCATGGTTTGCGGAGGCTGGGCCCGTGTTTGCGAGATATTCACAATTGTGTGCACTCCTTATTTGGAGTTTGAGCCTGTGATGTCACTGCGGGGACTCTGAAAGATGGCGTGGAAATAGCTTTCAACAGCAAAGTGAAATGGGATGTGTTGTACGGACGAACGTTTCAGAACATGTAGTCTGCTGGGCACTGAACTAAATGCTTTCGGTCTGAAGAATCTGTAATGCAGCGTTCCCCGATCGAGCATGCTACAGAATCTGGTCACTTTCCCAATGAAAACGTATCGGGTGCTTCCTGATAGCCCCACTTCTGCGCCATCATCGGGATATGGTAACGGATTTGATTGTTTGATTGGGAATATCTAATGGGTGATGGACCTTAGCCCCCTCCCCAAGACCACTAGACTCTGCACACAGGTTTTGTAATTTTAATTTTAACGCAGGTCCCCGACTAAACCACACTGTCACAGTGTGAATCCCCTCCAGTGTCATTGTTACTCTGATGACGCAGACGAGAGAGGGGCTCAGAGGCAGCTAGCTTGGGACACGCTAACCGTCACTGGATCATGTTAGAATTACTGATACTGTACCCACTGCTGTATTGCTGTGCACTGCATGTCCTATGCAGTGCACAGCTGTCTGTGTGTACACGGATCTATCTACACACGCAACTGCTTCCAGGCAGACTTGACTGACCGGCTGACTGACTACAATAGACTTACCGCAGTACTTCTCGCCGGAGTATGAAGTGCTTGCTCTGAACCACACCGCCGCCATTGTCGTCCTGCTCCGCAGAGCAGCACGCACAGCAACTGTTACCAATGGTGGCAGGGTGTTCCTGGACCAGTTATACTCCAAAGAATGGAACCAGGGGGAGGTCCTCGCCAGACGAGGCGCTACTCAAACGAAACTCGCACTCTCGGACTGTCGATCACTAACACTTGTTCTGCCCACCAAGACGATAGCGCGAGGCCAGGGCTGGACAACGTCACAATGATAAAGCATTTGTTGAGAATACCACTATTCTCCGCGGTCGAGCCCGCCTTCTTCTTCCTCCTCTTCAACTATTCATTCATCAATGTAGCGGATAAACACTCGAGAGATACCGATGTTGACTCTTGTCGACTGCAACGGACTTCGTGCAGTGAACCAAAGAAGAAGAAGAAGGGAAGACGATGGTCACTGGACAGAATCCGCAATCAGCAGAGTTACGGGTTAGGCATTTGCAATTGGTTAGCGCTTGCCAGTCTCTCTCGCCAGTTGTTGCTGAAGATCGCGCACTGGCGTGCATTATTCGATCATTGAGAGCATCCTAAGCCAGGGTCCTCAACAGCCCAGGAGCACTGCACTAATAGCTATAATTATCAAGCGAAGCAAGTATTGTTTCTTTCAAAATACATGAAGTGACATTGGCCATCAAATTATTTTGCAGGCCGGCGATCTCATGATCTCACGACAAAGAAGAACGAAAATTCGAACGAATACAATCCCACTACTGGGAGTACTGGGAGTGGAAGAGCATGTGGGAAGTGTAGGACATTCGACAGTCGAGTCGAGTCAGCGCTAAACCGCACACACTACGAGCCCCTGCAGCAGACTTGGCACATGATAGCTAGCACTTCATGACGAACCTGACACTTTCTCACATCAACGATTGCGTCTGTCAGTCACCGCCCATGTGGGGCTTCGCTACAGATAGTAGATAGTCATTGGGTTCGGCAACTCTGGGCCTGGCCTGGGATGTAACCAGCCTGTATGTAGCCTGTGTAGGCTGTATTGTAGTGTAGACCTACCACTAAACTCAGCAGTGACAGCATGACGACTTCTGACTATGTCACTCTGGTGGAAGAAGATCACCCGGCACCGACGAATGTCACGGTTGAAAAAGCGTGATGGCGTGTGTGCGTGTGCGTGTGTGTGTGTGTGTGTGTGTGTGTGTGTGTGTGTGTGTGTGTGTGTGTGTGTGTGGTGTGAGTGTGTCCATGTGCGTGTCTATGTGTGTGTGTGTGTGTGTGTGTGTGCGTATGTGTGTGTGCGTATGTGTGTGTGCGTGTGTGTGTGTGCGTGTGTGCGTGTGTGCGTGTGTGTGTGTGTGTGTGTGTGTGTGTTACCGGTGGCTGTATGTACCGTTCTGTGTAGTTTTGCAACACCGCGGTTTGCCACATCCACAGCAATTATGTACACTCAACACAGGCCGCAGTAGCTTTCGTCTCAACCACAGGCCGCAAATGAAAGCAACGTCGCAGTGATCTAAGTTGTAGCAAAAATACAAAACCCCGGGGTTACGAGTTCTCTTGGTTGTATGCCTACCAGAGATGACATACCCGCTACACTACGATAGTCAAGGAGTGCCTGGATAGCCATTTGAACGACGCTGAGTTCACGACGATAAGATCAAGAGGAACCTTCCCAACACAGCATAGCAGTAGGCAGCAGCAAGTAGCCACACGTAACCTGGTAACTAACGTTACTTGTAAACAGTACCTGTCAAACTATCGGAACACGACTATAGTGCACTGACTGAGTGATACACATCATGTATCTACATTACAATCATGTTGTACACTCCTAGCAAGAGTACTCTTGCTCCTAGTCATCCGCAGAGTAGCAAAGTCAGCTGTAGCATTCACGCAGACTGTACTGGCCAACACTCCAAGTCCAACAACAGTTACTGCATTTCGTCATTCCGGCATGATCTACAGTAAGTACTAGTAGTACAATCATGTAGCAATGGTACTGTCAGATCTACGGATCATGATGGAAAGAAGAACGTTCAACCCGACAGCTACAAAAAAAGCAGTACATGTACATGCATAATTATTATAATCAAGAGTCCAGAGTCCAGTGCATACGCAGTAACCAAGGTAACACCTCTTGATAATAACACCGCATGACAGATCAGTGCAGACTTGAGAGTGTGGACCAGGATTTCATACTATGTATGGATGCAGCTAATGGGATTTCGGTCTTTGACCACTTGGTGGTGGGTCTGATCTACTCACCTCCCACCGTTTAGGCGCTGCATCTGCGCCTTTGATCCTAGAGCGTGGTGGCGTTCCCAAGACGGATGCGGAAAACTGGGTTTCCAGCCGAGTCTCACGCGAACCGTGAAATTTTTAAATTCTATGCCTTTGGTTACAACACATAATCAGACCGCCCGAACATACATCCAGTCACCATCACAACTGAGCTATAGACCCAGTCGTGCTCAATTGAAAGGTGCATTGCCAGCGTAGAACAAGGTTTCTGCTGGCGCCGTGCATGCACTGGTATGCTCGGCCGTTTTATTTCAAAAAGGGCTGACCCACCCAATTTGTGCACACCGGTACATGCAGATCCAAGGTTGAAACCAGGCGGTCTCTGATTGAAATAAAGTTCACTTTCCGTTCAAGAATCTCATTTGGCCGGATCACCTGAAATCCCGGTGCTACAGCCGCTTGCTATGGCCGCAAACCAAGGGATGTGCTACGCCAAGGGCTGGAAGTCTGCAGCAGTCTCAGTCTGGATTCCACAGCACAGTGACACTGTGACTGGTACCTTAAATCGCTAGTTTTGGAGATGCCCGGAACTATGAAGTAACACGATCGTAGGATAAGGATCAACGTAAATGATGAAAAATATACACTGTACTAGTAGCAGTAGCAATCAGAGTGTGCAGCAAGCCGATCACACTCAACATGCTCAATGTGCGTACACAGCCTTCGGTGTGAGGCCAGGCAGGACAGTAGCAGCGCATAATACATTCACTAGTGGTAGACAATGCTAGAAAATAACTGGCCAAGCACAATTGGTGCACAGCTACTAATGCGCTGCACATCATACCTTACCTGTGCTGAACATGGCCTGTTACAATCTCTTCCGTAAAACACTCCGTCATCACTTTAACACACTTGTTTTTTCTCTCTTTCTAGAGCCCAGCCAGACCTGCAACCATATCTGAACAAGTACTGTCACGGGGATCCGGTCGAATGACGCGGGGCTGGCTCCCTCAACGCGTACAGAACATTACATGCAGTGCACGTGTTGATTGTACTTGAAGTATGCATACTCACGGCTGAATGTCCACCGCCCTGGGCCGCTTGACCTCCGATCGGATTTCCATGTCCACGACAGTACTTGCGTGATTCCCACCAACAGCAGATTTCGACAGTAGAGAGGTTCCGCATAACATAATTACGTTAGTAAAAAACGTAGTCGATCTACGGAAAGTCTTACGTAAACTGCATGCGCATCTGGGTTCCGCCATACGGAGTTTTCAAATCACGTAGCTGCCCTTGGCAACTCCAAACGCGGCAGTGTACGACCAGATCGACATGGGGAGAGTGTCATAAATTTGTACCCCAATCCACTTACGGACCAGCTACGTTATCAGAGCCCTATCAACGTACTCTCCGTAGACAACTTTCCGTAAGTGGAGTGCAAACTCGCGAATTCACGGGTTTTTCCCGCCCACTAACGTAAAGTTGCTCAACTTTACGTAGTGCGGAACCTCTCTAATATCACTCTAAAAAGACTGCTGCAAAATACAGTAAGTAGTAGTGCCCATAGCCATCATTCTGGTGGACGTTGATGAACCTGAAAAATGAATACCCCCCCCCCCCCCACGCATGAACCACGAGGAGGTGAAAGTCAAACACAACGGTTTGTCATACAGATTCCACTGGCTCCTCTAAACATGCCAGTTGGGACAAGAGGCCATACAGTAAGACTTCCGGCTACTAGTAACCGGTAAGGAAAGGGATCAAATGCCACCAATCTCATTTGTAGGATCTCCTACAAGTTCAGTGGTTTAGCCGGGGGAAACGCAAGCAAGGCAGTAAGCTGGCTAAGCAAGACGCTTCACACTCTCTGCCCATGCGAACAAGGTAAATTAGACTACCAGCGTTCAGCAATCCACCGCCCCGTACACATTAGTCACCACTACAGTCTGCCTCGCTTATCACGACTGCGGATAAAACGACAATTCGCGAATACGACAGTATGTCCATGCCCAGAGCAAAGTCCCATCTAACTGTGATACATATGTTGGACTCGTCAGATTGGAACTGTGCTGAACTTTTCTCGTTCTCCGCTTTCTGCTTTCATCCCTCGCTCTGATGAAACCGTTCAAACGCCTTACTGGCAGCAATGGCCAGCCAAACGGGGGATCCTTGTGGCGTCGAACGAAAGAGAGTGTCAGTGTACCTGATTCGTCAGATTTGAACTGTGCTGAACTTTTCTCGTTCTGCAATTTCTGATTTCATCCCGCGCACTGATGAAACGTCTTCAGAGAACCACAAGACGCTTTCCAGATTTGATTTTGAACGTCTCCTTATCCTCCTTGGTTACCTCGAGACAGATTACTGTCAGCAACTGCACAGCAGAACTGGCAGCCATGGCTGAAGTGAAGAAAGGAATGCGCTGCCACGAGGCACGCAAAACTGAAAAGTTGTTTGTTCTCTTTCGGGCACAAGACACAGGACGGCGTGACTGGATAACCTGGACTCCTGGACCGTGAATAGGGGACTTGTAGAAAAAGTGTACTCCTTATAGGGGATTGCGCGGCAGGATGAAGCTGATCAAAACTGAGTGGACTCCTGAACTCTGTATAGTGGATTTTGGACCAATGGACTCTATATAGGGTGCTGGATAGTGCATGGACTCTATACTGAGTCCTACACATAATAAGACTTCGGGTATAAGGACACTTTGCGAATAAGGACGCTTTTCTGATGCCCCGCCGAGTGTCGTTGTACGCAAAGTTGATTGTACATCACACCTTTACTAAGTACATGTACTTACATGCACGAGCGTGATACAATATGACCGTGGCGAGAACGACGATACTGTCCACCAGCACCATGCCCATCATTATCGGCAGCAGCGGCCAGAGCATGTCAGGACCGCCGGTGAACTGGTGCTGCCGCGGTCATTTTGGCCAGTTGCCGCCTGCGCATGGCCTCACGCACGTCATCGACGGTGACCTCCTTGACCAGGGCATGGAGTCGTGACAAACCAAGTACCTGCTGGTGCAAAAGCGTGACCTGAAGCACACATATACACACAGTGACACACACACACACACACACACACACACAGACACACACACACACACACACACACACACACACACACACAGACACACACAGACACACACACACACACACACACAGACACACACACACACACACACACGCACACACACACACGCACACACACACACACACACACACACACACACACACACACAACCAGGCAGACACGTGAAACAAAAGACTAAGTAAACAACACAAGTCACTGAGGACCCAGGACATGAATTTAAAAGTAATGACAGAAATAACCAAAACTACAGTCCACTCAATGAAAAAAGTTGAAGTTGAGTGCAGTTGCATGTTGTGAGCTGTTCAATGGAGAGGCCTGCAGCTCACTTCCATTGCAAGAAGAAGGTGAAACATGTGGATGTTGCTGAGGCTATAGCGTCTGGCAGTCACGCCCTGCGCACAGCAAGCTCTCGGGATCACATGCTTCACTTCCCGGCGGGATGCACTGCCGTCGTGTAAATCGCCTCTGAGCGTCAAAAACGCAATTCGAAGAGCATTCTGTATTGCACGGCAAAAACAATTCTGAAAAAG